GCTACGGCTTGCAAGAGGACGAGTCGCGGCAGACAAAGCGCGCGAGGGTAGACGACGAGGACGAATGAGCGTGGGTCGGCGGCGCATGACGAGCGAGCAAGCAAATTGTACTTCTCTGGGTACGGACCTGGCGGCGGCCACTGAGGGATGGCGCTTACGGCGTTTTGGTTCGAGGGTATCATCTAGTTGTAATTGTATGCAACGGTCGCCCGGCTGGGCCACCTCCACATCATCGTCTCTTGTCCCGTGCGTGGCCTGGCGCTTCCGTTTTCCCCTTTGACTGATACGCCAGGCATGGCGCTCAAGTCCTGAAGTGCACCTCACAAACCAAAGTACTGCGTGGTGATGAACGTCTGGCACAGCTCACTATTACTACAGCATGTCGTCTGAGACGTGCCGCCGTCCCATCTTGATACACAGGGCGATGCCATCTCCAGCATCCAGCCCTCCCAACATAAAGTGGAGTGATCTCTCTCTCTCTCTCTCTCTTGCTCGGCCGCCACAAAAAAGATGACCCAAAACCGTCTAAATCCCAAAGAACGCCATGCCATGCCCACAGAAAACATCGTACACATTGCATCCCTCCCCCCACCTTGTTATGTCCCGGCCCCCCAGGCCCAGCATCGCCCAGCCGTACCCGTCAAAGAAAGCTTTTCTACTCGTCGCCCGGGCTCCGCATGTACGCATCGATAGCCGCACTGAACGCCGCGAAAGCAATGCACCCACCGGCCGCCGCCTGCGGGCCGGCGTTGCGCGCGAGGATGCCGCCCGTGACGCAGCCGGCCGCGACGCCGTTGGTGAGGTCGTTCTTGGCGCGGAGCCCTTCGATGCCGCACTCGATGCCGGCGAAGAGGGCGCCGACCTTGCCGAAGCTGCGCGCCGTGCTGTAGGAGCGCTGGCCCATGTCCTTGAGGCCGACGCGCAGCTGCTGCTTCATCGGCAGCGAGGAGACGGGCGTCTGCGGTCCGCCGGGGGTCGCTGTGTGGAAGGGTGTGTCGTAGGACATCTATTCCGGAAAAACAAAAGGGTCAGCGTCTTGGTCCTTCGTTTCTCAAAGTGGTCCGTCGTTGACCATCTCGTGCAAGAGGCGGCGATGATGAAGCAATGAGGGGACGAGAGGTCGACGTACCGAGGCCATGAACATGCCAAAGAGACCACCCATGCCGAATCCCATGACGCCCGACATGGCGCCCTTGGCGAAGCAGTTCTCCATAAAGTTGTTCATCTGCGCGTTCAACCATGTCAGCTCCCTCTCGTGAATCGTTGCAGGCGGCGCATGTGGCCGGACGTACGGCTTTGACATTGGGGTCGTCTCCACTGATGCCGCCGGCGGGGGGCTGCGCGCCGGCGCCGGCTCCTGTTCCGGGGAAGTTCATGTTTTGAAGAATGCAGTGGGCTCGCAATTCGGACGTTTGGCGAAGACGGGTCTCGGTAGCAGTTTCGGTCGTGGAAGGGTCAAGCGTTCGTGGCGGGCATGTGCTGCAACGTTGAAGCAAGTCGAATCTCGGCCCAGCTCCTGCGAGTCCCGTCTTCCCCAATTCTGCCGCGACTCACCGCCCAAAATTTCTCGCGGCGGCGACCCCGGCCGTTGGCCCCCCTGCCCGTCATGTGGGTCGGATCACTTGGCAGAGCCGGTACTGTGCCTCAGCAAGTCAATCATTTCGTATGCCTTGTGGAGGGACCTTCAGACGTTCCCCACTTCACTCGGTGCTTGACGACCCCCCAGCTTCAAAATCATGTCATTTTTTTATGACTGTTGTGTCCTATACCTGAGATGTTGCTCCCCCCTGCCATGTGTGCAGCCCCTTTTTTGCAGAGCACCCCTGAACCCACCCCCCCCCCCCCCCCCCAGAGTCAACTGATACTGCCACAGCCAACAGCTTCCGTCCTGGCTTGTACTCTGTACAGTTTCACTTCGCCAGGAGACGACATGAAGATGGTCAGACGATAGTTCCACAAGCCTCCCTCGATAAGGAAAACTCTTTGGTCTGACTCGGGAAGCAATAACATGTACTGAAACAAGAGCTCGTGTTGCTGGTCCTCCTCATTCCCTTCGCATTCAAACGTCCACGCCGTCTACCGCTACCGAAGGAAGAGGTCTCCAACGCCGTTTCGTAGAGCCCTTGTCCGATCGACGTGATCGAGGCCCAGATAGTCATCATCGCCACTCGCAATTGACCATAGCTCGTCGTCTGTAATGGATTCATCAGCACTGCGTCCGTGGGGAAAAAAAGGGCTTTGCACACGTGTTCCCGACGTACCGTCCTCCAGATAATGGGGTTTAGAGAAGTGCGTTCTCCTGATCAGGGCAATCTTGATCTTCTCAAAGCTCTTGCCCTTCAAGCCCGTACGCTTCTCTAGCCTCTTCTTCGTATCTGCAAACTTCTCGCCCTACGCCATTGTCAGCTACTGGATCGAGTTGTCGACTGTCAACGTGCAAGCGCTCGTACCTCAATTAGCAGAAATTTGAACGGCACACCATGGGCCCTGTTAGGTTCGCCCTGGAAGTGGAACACGGAGATAGTGTTTGTGTCGTCCACGTGGACTTCATCTTCCGGCACGCGCTCCGCGTACAGGTTGGTGTAGTCGTTGAGGCTGATGACAGGGTAGTCGCGCTTGAGCTCCCGGTAGAACTTGTGCTGGCTCGCCTCGTACACCCGAATTCGACCGCTCTCGGCTTCGTCAGTCAGATCTGCCCTCTTAATGAGCGCCTGGATGAGGTCCTCAATGATGCCATTCTTGGCAACCAAGAGGTCCAGGTGGTCCTGCTGGCTTGTTAGTGCCGCCTAAAGACTCTCATCCCACACATGCAACTTGCCTCTTTCGTAATGCCCTCTGTGAGCCACGTGATCTTAATGTTCTTCTTGGTGTCCAGCTCCGCAAGGCTGATGTCCAGGACTTCGAAATAGAATGCATCCGTTCTTTGGCTGGCATTCAGGTTGCCGAATCCGGTGGGGTTTAAGATCGACTGAAGCGTCTGGTTGCTGCCACGCTTCACGGCGCTCTTGGGGTTACCTGTAGTCACGTTGACTGTCCAGAGTCGGAGGTGTGTTGGTTCCCACTCCAACTGCGCCGCAACTCGTTCCGTCAACACATCGTAGCTGATCTTCGAGTTAAGAACCAGCTCGAAAGGCGGGAACTGCGCCGCGTCACATTTCGTGGGATGCGCGTGGAACTTGACAGTTTTCTTGTGATGCAAGAAGTCGTAGTATTCCCGAGCATCCTCGACGCGATCAGACTTTCGCGTGCTGCTGCACTGTCAATTATGGCCTTTCACGGAATCCTTCTTTCACTTACGCTTCTTCAGACACCTGCTTCTCATTGAGGTGCAGACGCTTCTCGAGAATGTTCCTTTCGCTCTTGCGCTCCGCGCTCCGCTGGAAACACAAAACATCGCCGTCTTGCAACTCAGCCGCCTTCAGCGACTGCTTCGGCTTCAAACTTTCGATCATGGTAGGTTTGATTTCCTGGCAAAAATGTTAGCATCTGGAGCAGAAAAAAAAGCAAGAATCCCTGTCCGTGTACTGACCTCGTATAGAGAGATTTTCTCGTCAGACGGCAACTTTTCTCCCCAACCCATCTTCTTCAAGATCAAAGGCACGAGCTCCTCCACCTTCTTCTCCTTGCTGATGTACACATGACCAACGCCACGAAGGGTCTGCGACTCGATATCGAAGTACTTGAGGAAGAGCAAGATCAAGTCGTTCTTGACGACAATGCCATTCTGTTGGGGTTCGTGGGTGGGCCAAATAGCCTTGCCGTCGGGAGCCGTTTCTTCCGCGACTTCAGCCCAGAGTCGGAGAGCCTGGTCCCTGTGCGCCTGTGCTCGCTGGAAAACCTCCTCCACCGTAGGGTCGAGGTCCATGATTGGTTGATCTGGACGAATTGTCTTGTTTTGCCGGTTGACCATAACCCAGCAGCGGATCTTGCGAGGGTCCTGCTGCATGTCTTCAGCGATGGTGGCCGTGAGCTCCTCCATAGTCATCGTCCGAAGAACTCGGTAAAACTTGGGCGTCGAAGCATCCTCCACTTCGGGGTCAAAGTTGGTTAGATCTGTGCCGCCGTGCTGCTTGAAAGTTTCGTTTGTGATGACCTTAACACCAATATAGAGATGCTCTTCCATGCGCTCCTTCCTCCTGGCTTCCCGCAAGGCAGTCTCTTCTTCAATTCTCGACTTTAGATGAGTGGGAATGTCGTCCGAGGTGACGGGGCGCAGGATCTTATCCAGGCGTGTTTGGCGAATGTACACCAGCATGTACGCACTGTTTTGACGCATGATCGGCGCCTTCTTTTGGAGCGGTGCTCGCAGCAAAGAGCCGTTGGGAAGTCGATACTCGCCACCAAAGTTCTCCTCAAGCACCTCGCGCATCGTCGCTTTCGTAACCTTGTCATCATCATACTTGTAGAACCACCCATCCTTCTCGGGCTTCAGGAAGGCGTAGTAATGTCCGGCGTTGAGGTCACCGCTGTGCACCAGCACGCCGTGCAGTTGGTAAGTCCAAGGCTCGGATTTGTCGGCACCCTCAATCAGGAATGGGGCGGCGTCAAACTCCTCCGGGAATTCGTATCGATCGTTGATCTTCATCATCATGTCTCGTTGAATGTCGTACTCGAATCTTTTCAGCTGCAGGTGCAGCACATCGGGGAAGCTGGTGAAAATAACGCCCTTGTTGGCGTCTTGGAGCTTGAACTCGTCGCCCGCATAGTACTGATTCTCGCCATCCATCTTCTCGACTTGGATGTAGTCCTGGAAACTCTCGATGAGGTTCTTGTTGCCGCTCACGTTGAGCTGGATATCCCAGAAATCCTCGATACGGCTGGATTCGTAGTCGACGTTGACGCAGGAGATGTACGTCTTGATTTTGCCACTGAACATGTCAGGCAGCACCTTTTCAGCTGGCGTGCCCTTCATCTTCTCTTCCATGCGTTCCATGAGCTTGCGCGACAGTTCTTGAACATCCTGCTGTTCAAAGATGTGTCTCGTTTCCCACCCAAAAGACTTGGTAAGCTCATTCGTGCCTACTGCCGTTTCTGACGTCTGGAGCTGATAGAACAGACGCTGAATTGTGTAAGCACTGTTGCTCAAGCTATCTTCCTGCTGTGTAGGAATTCCGTAGATGGCCTGTTGATCGAGTTAGCGCACGGTGCGATAAGAAAGCTATTTTGTTGAGCCTCACGGTGCGGAAAGCGTTTGTGAAGTAGAGGGACTGGAGAAGCGAGTTGAGATAACAGGTGGCTCCCTGGTTCTTCAAGCCAACATAGCCCGTTTCCTTCTTTGAATCGTAGTTGAGAAAGGTATGCCACAGCACGCCCGTCTCGTCCTCGACGACACGAAGATATGCGGTGATGTTGGCAGTGTCGTTCTCGCATAGTGGTCGGCTTCCGTTCTCGTACGGTACATTAAACATTTTGCGCAGCTCGTAAAACCTCGTGAATCCCCAGTCAGCCTCTTCTTTAGTGAAGCGATGATGAGCAACGTGGTGCGTATAGAGGCTGGGATCGTTTGGGTTCGACAGGACTAGCGCAAACTGCACGCAGCAGCTCCAGTTGTCTGGAACTTCATTCGGTTCGAAGCCATGTTCGAGGTAGATGGAGCACTGGTCGACATTATTGCCAAAGGGAAAGAGAAGGATCCGCCTGTAACACATGGTTAGTCCACCGCATTCAGCACGGCGGGGCCGGCGCAACGACTTACCAAGGGTAGCCGCCGGCATGGAAGATGGGACCATGCTCGCGCTTTGGCAACCCCCTCCAGGAGGGGATCGACCATGTGTTCACGACATCTTCTAAGATGCGGGGCTCTTCAGCTAATGGTGGCAGGATCAGCTCCTTCATGGCCTCGTCTGGGTCGCATAGCAAGTTAGCATATACAGAGCGCAACGAGCGAGGACCAGCATGGCTTACGGTCGGTCGCCAGAGGCAGATCTTGCAAGTTGTCGATGTCATTGTCGTTGTCTGGGTTGATGATGGCGACAGGCTCCTTTTCGGATTCGTTCGGAATGCCGACATAGTCGTCTGTGTCCATGACCATCTCGCTGGGGGACGTAATGTCGTTGTTGTAGCTCTGTTCCGTGTTTGCGTTAGCTGTGTGCCCAAACAGAATGTGCGGCGTTCGTGACGTTGACTGGGGATGACGGCGGGGCAGGCTTGTGTGGCAGAGGCGACGACGGGAGGCCGATGACAAGGACTGAAGGAGCTCGGCAGGCCAAGAGGATGCGAGCTCTTGAACGACCGCGGTTTGCACTGGTGTCATCTTACCATGATGAAGGTCCCTGGCTTCGTTGGCGGGAGAAGGGGGAGCCAGCGGGAGCTGAGTTTTGTCGATTAAGAATGCCTGGAGGTCAAAGGTCGACGACGACTCTGGACGCCAGGTGGGACGCGAAAGACCGACCAGCCCTGCACTGTCGGGACTCGCGGGGAACTGTAGCGGTGTCGGCTACTGGTCAGGAGAGCTGCATAAGCAAAAGGCGATCCAGGTTTGAGTAACCTACGTAATGGTCTGCCAACGGCAAAGATGGTGGTTCGTGTATCTGCTAATTGGTACGAATGCAGACCTGGACTTGGGTCGTGTCGTAGGGAAGCCTAGGTGGGCAAGGTTCCGCTAATAAAGGTGAGGTAGGTACTAGGTAAGGTACCTGGGCAAGGTAGGTGGGCTAGACAGGTAGAGTAGGTTCTGATCACCTCCGCTCGGTACCTATGCCAGGTTATCGCAAAGCAGAAAATTGCAGCAAATTCTTGCAGGAGTGTCGGATCTGACAGCAACGACAGTACTCATGCGTGAGGAGCCATTAGTGTGGTGAGATGTTGTGGCTTCTTGGTTGTGCAGCAAGACCTTTTGAAGTTCTTGGGGTGGGTGGATGGGTTGCAGGTTGGCGGGCGACCGAGGGCACCTGGTCCAATCCAGAATGCGGAGAACACAAGGCAAAGGGCAATGACAATGGCAGTGGCACGTCACTCTACTGGGGGGGGGGGCGCCGAGGAGGCTTCAGAGGATCTGTCTTTGACCAAAGTGGCAGTGACTGCTGACTACCCAGTTTCGTCAGACTGCCCGTCTGTCAAGGCGCCAGTCCGCCGGTTCGCCCAGCCCTGCTTGCTGGCCTTGCCCGCCTACATGTAAAAGGTACTACTGTACCTAAGTGCCTCAGTGATGCAGCATCAAACCCCACACTGGTTTGAACTCCCACTCTGCCCTGTAGTTGTGCCGGCGGGGGGCCAGCTGCAGGGAATTGAAATTTGAGCCCAGGGATAGACTAAGATCACATGAAACCCCCTGACCGTAAGCCAGACTGGACATTTTTTCCAACGTGGAAGCTTTCCCCCAGCGCCCTAGCGAATTGACCCTGGGGTTCCCAGGAGCCAGCCGATCACATCTCGACAGCTACCCTCCCACGACCTCAGCATCCGCAACCCTCGACCACGCCCATTGCCTGGCACACCTCCCCACAGCTGGAGCTTCTCACCTGCTGGTCTCGAGCCTCACCGCGACGTCCATCCTCCTCTCCCCCCCTCTCCCCCGCCATCATGAGGTCCTTCCTCCCTCTCCTGTCGATGAGCGCCGTTGCGCAGGCCCTCTACTTCTACATCGACGGCACGACCCCCAAGTGCTTCTTCGAGGAGCTTCCCAAGGACACGCTCGTTGTTGGCCACTACACTGCCGAAGAGTGGGACGACAGGATCAACAACTGGGCCAAGCACGACGGCATCAGCATCTACATCACCGTCGACGTATGTGCCACCACCCTGCCACCCGCCCTACCCCTTCCTTTCCTTGTCCCGTGTCCCCTCGACATTGGCGCTGCCTCCCGTCTCCCACGAGCCGATCATCTCTTGCCTTTCTTTGCCAGCAGCTAACCACGTCGACCGACAAACAGGAGCTCTTTGACAATGACCACCGCGTCGTCTCCCAGCGCGGTGCCGCCGCGGGCAAGTTCACCTTCTCCGCTGCCGATTCCGGCGATCACCAGCTCTGTTTCACCCCCTCGTCAACGTCGGGCCGCTCCGGCTGGCTGAGCCAGTCCTCCCACAACGGCGGCATCCGCCTGACGCTCGACCTCGCCATCGGCGAGACCTCCCAAATCGAGTCGGCCGACAAGGACAAGCTGCTAGACGTCGCCACCCGCATCAAGGACCTCAACGCTAGGCTGCAGGACATCCGTCGCGAGCAGGTCTTCCAAAGAGTACGTTTATCGCGCGGTGCACAGTGACCCGAAAAGGCGAACGAAAGAGGGAGAAGAAGAAGAAGAAGAAGAAGTATGACGGAAGGAATGCAGCTAATGCTTTTTCTAGGAACGCGAGGCCGAATTCCGCGACCAGTCCGAAGCCACCAACTCCCGTGTCGTCCGCTGGATGATCATCCAGCTGACCGTCCTCGCCGGCACCTGCGCGTGGCAGCTGTCACATCTCCGGTCCTTCTTCATCAAGCAGAAGCTCACGTGAAAGCGCCACGCACGTGTGGGAGGAGCGAGGGACGGCACAAGAGATGGGAGAAGGATCTCGACATCTTTTTACTGCGCAAAAGGCGTGGGAGTTCTGGAGGTATTCTCGCCGTCTTTGGAAGAAGTCGGCGTCGTGCATCGATGCATCTCGAGGACATCTACCTAGCTTATGACGCAAAAGACGTACTGGTTGAGGTAGCTGCCCCTAGGCATGACAGGAGAGCAGGCAGTAGGGGTTCTGTAATGAATGAGACACGCTTTCAAACTTGTTCGCCACGACGGCCAAGGAGATCCTTTCCAAAAAAGAAAAGACTGCTTGACATGCTGAATATAACTAAATGCCAAACCTAGCGTCACCAGTGAGCCGGTTGAGGCGGGACGGGCAGCAGAGCCCATGTATGAAGTCATTTCCTTATATTCTCACGTCTATCAACCAACACGAACAGCCCACCTGCTCAACCTCCACAGCCCATCTGTCCATCAGCTTCCCCAGAAGCGTGTCGTCCTCTGATGTCTGCTCCCTCCGCATCTTGCCCAAGATCACTTGGCAAGGCACGAAGCCAACTGTCTCCGTCCTCGCACTACACGGCTGGTGTTATTATGAACAGTACACGAACGTATTGCAGAATCAGCCCAATGCCATGGAGCCCCACCGACCGCCTTCGCCCGCCATGCGCCGTACTGCGCGCTGTGCATTAACAGGATGTAGTAATTTTTTTGTTTCGGCTGAAACATTCAGGCCCTCAAGGAAATAAGGTCCGGGTCCCGAAGTCGAGTTTTTTTGCATGCCAGTGATGTAGCGCAGTCTCTCCTCTTGTGAGAGAAGGATGAATGAACACCGCTACGCCAAGATAAGGAGAATGCCCGAAGAAGAAAAAGAAAAAAGTAAAAGTCGTGCCGTCGTCGACATGTTGCGGATGATCAGCTCTGATGGCGTGATCAGAACGGGAAGAAATGTCCAACGAGGCGCGGTGCAGAGGTCGTTGATGAAATCCCGTGGCATAGCAGTCAGGTGGCTCTCGCGGTGGTCCGCGGCCGCTCATGACCAGAGAAATACACCACGCATATCGACGTGCAGAAGCTGGATCAACAAGAATCCGCATGTGTATATAATCGCTTGAAAGGAGCTAGCTGGTCCCGTTCCTGGTATGGCCAAGACAACACCAAGTAAATCCGGGACACTAACCTATGGGGGAATCAGATTGTGCTGCACTTGGTTCAGTATGTTGGGTTACGCACCGCAGCAAAGGACCTTCATGAACTTCTGCATGCCGGAAGGCTGGGGCTCAGGAGAGCGTCCACTAGGCTGGGCCGGCTGGGCAGGACTCTGCTGAGGAGCAGTCTGAGGCAGATTGCGGTTGCTGTTCTGGAACTGCGCCTGCGTTGATCCGGCGGGCGTCGCCATGTCCCGGAGACCCCCGACTCCGCTGCTCCGCTGGGCGCCCAAGGCGCCGGGCGCGTTTGGCCGACCTTTGTTCATTTGTTTGATCGGCGATGGAGGCGGGGGTTGCGCGGCGTTTAAACGGCTGACCGTCAGGTTCTGCGCTTGCGCGTGAGCTGCGCTCGCGCCGCCGCGCTGACCGCTGTGGAGTTCCATCTGGGACGGCCCGGGTCGAGCGTTGGGGTTGTGCAGGTACGCGTTGTTGTGCCCCTTCGACCCGTCCCAACCTTTCCCCGAATCCTTGGAAATCTTCATCCAGTCATATTCGCCATCCTCAACCTCGCCCGTATTCTTGAGGGCTTGCGTGAAGAGCTCCCGCAGGTAGTCGTAATCAGGAGTGTCCTCGAAGCCCAGGTTTCGTACGTATGTGAGGTACTTGTTCAGTTCGTCGGGGAAGCCTTCGCACAAATCGCGAATTTGGGTCGTCTGCTTCTTCTCGCCAATCTTCTCGTACTTTTGCTTGTTGGTAGCAGCCTTCAGACCTTGCCAGGGCAGACCACCGCGGAGAAAGTACATGAAAACGTGACCGAGCGCCTCCAAGTCATCACGGCGAGACTGTTCCCTGCCAAGATGGGTGTTGATGCTCATATAACGAGCTGTACCGGAGAGTGACTTGCGTTCGCGGTAAGGAATGTGCTGCTTCGTCTTCGGGTCGCGGTACTGCTTGGCCATGCCGAAGTCGATAACATGGATGACATTTGCGGCCTTAGTGCCCGGCCTGCCGATAATGAAGTTGTCGGGCTTGATGTCACGGTAGATCAAGTTCTTCTCGTGGATCGTCTGAACCCTTGAGAGCTGCAAAAAGGGTTAGTCACGTCAGTGTTCAGTTGGCACGGCAGACATACCATCTGCTTGGCAACCATGACAACGGTCTTTATGGTGAATCTCCGACCACAGTGGTCGAACAGATCCTCAAGCGAGGGACCTAGGAGGTCAATGACAAGGATGTTGTGTAGGCCCTCCTGGCCGAAGTAGTAGACGTTGGGGATGCCCGCTAATTTACAATTAGAATACACTGCATTTCGTAGCAGGAACGACGTTTGGCAACTCACGACATCCGACAAGAATCTTGTACGTCCGGTATTCATCGCGCAACTGAGGAGCGTCACTCTTTCGAGGTTCCTGGTTTTGGTTAGTCAAGTTGGTTTGGAGGGAAAAGGGGGCTCTGAGAATCGTCAAGCGTGTTACTTACAAACTTGATGGCGACTTGCTGGTTGTTGAGGAGGTTGGTGCCTTCGAAAATAACGCCGAACGAACCCTCACCAATCTTCTTTCCCACGCGGTAGTGTACGCCGACGACGTTGCTCGAAGAGGAAGCCATCGTATCGAGAGATGGGTCCTACACGGACCGTTCTATCGTGTTCAGGTCCGAAATCGTGAGGCTGGTGTAATTGTGTAGCGTAGATTGATGCAGATACGACCGACAAGAGCGCAGTCTTGCGGGATAATGTCAAGTCTGAAGATAATGGGCACGTTAGCTTACTGCTTTTCATTTGTGATCATCCGCGTCGAGAGCACGGCAGGCTGGTTCAGCAAGGAAATCGATGTCGGCGAAAGAGAGCTTGGTTGAGGTTCAAGGCGAATGCAGAATTTGGCGCCTTGTCAGGCTTGCTGGTGTGCTGGGGGTGGAAGGAAGACGTTGCATGGTAACAGGCCAAGGCAGCTCGCGTGCTGCCATACGAAGATGCGGTATCCGAGAGGGAAGATGCAACGGAGATCCCGACTACACTATTGGGGGCCGTCTAAATCACTGGCGGTGAGACGTACCTGCAGGATGAGTGTAGTGATATCCAGAGTGTCGAATTCGTCGTCGGAATCGGGGGGGTCGAAATCGAGTTTGAAGGCGAAGGCGTGTTGTCGTGCCTAGTCACCGACACTAGAATCTTGGGCCAGGGGCAAGGGAGAGCGAAGGGGATGGTACCCGGTGGTGTGGGAGGACGCAATTGCAGCTGCACGCTCAGATGCAATGGAAGACGCAGACGCAGCAAGCAGCTCTGACTCGGTGAAGAGGTTGTCGTCCAGAGGCGAAGATGGACGAGCAGGACCGAGGAGAGACGTCAGGAGGGCCACGATGGCGTGGTGTGGAGGAGAGGACGGACGGGGATGGGATGGGGAGGAGGGTGAGAGAGGCGACGGTCGGGGTTGGAGGGCGAAAAGAGAGAGAGAGCGAGAGGGAAAGGGCGAAGCACAAGCACAGCCAGGTACCTACGAACCGGACACAAACGGACCTGTGCACGGGCGCTGTAGGCAGGTACCTTAGGTACCTCAAGTAGGGACCATAGGCTCTGGAACTGGCAGCGGACAGGCACGGCAGGCAGAGACAAAGGTATGGCAAGGCAAGGTAAGGTACCTGAGCAGTGGACCAGGGGACGTGGACGGGGAAACGGGACGGTCGAGGGAACTGGGACTGGGGTTCGGCCGGTGGATCTGGCCCAACGCTGGCCAGGTAAGCCACTGGTTCGCTCGTGAAGCAGGCGAGCGGGCCTGAGGCTCCCAAGTCAGGTCTCCTTCTCCAGTCAGGTCGCCTGCAGCTGGGGGACCTCACCAGGTCACCTTCCATTTTCCGCTCAGTGCGAGGCGGGTACCGCCAGTTTCCTTCTGACACCGCCTGTGCAGGCCACACAGGGTCACCTTGGTTGTTGTTGGCGCCCGTGCTCCGAGAGGGGGGCGGGGGGTCGGAGGCGCTGTGGCCACTATTAGCACCCCGACGGGCAGCCACTTGGGGGGGGCAACTAGCCACTGGAATGTGCGGGCCCACGACTCGTAATGGCCATGTGAACTCCTGCCTTAGGCCCCATGTACATCGCGCTGCCCGCAATCTCCTACCAATCTCGCATGTACCGGGGCAAGACTCTTCTTTGGGGCTCACCCGCCAACGTTGTCAACCTAATTTTCGTCCGACTCGATCAAGCCAAATTTCTTGGACCCCTCCGCATTGCTCGCTCAGGGTCCGGTCATCTCGACTTCCACCAGGCCCCGAAAATCTCCATCTCACTACAGTCCTTCTCTACGACTTCACGTACCAGTTGCCCCGCCCGGTCGATCCTCTTCGTTGCTTCGCTTCGATACACTGGCACGTAGATGGAGACGCCGACCTCGGAAAACGACATTACCTCGTCAAACTCCTGGTCCTGAGCTCGGCGGAGGCTAGACCCATCTCGTGAAGGCCAGGCCAGCCCCCGGCCTATCAAGCCGCACTAGAACACGCCTCGCCTTTTCTGGCAGACAGCCGAGTGCCCCTGGAAATTGGCCCGAAGCGAGTGTCCATTGGCACAGTCCATGGGCACAGTCGCTCGTTGGTCGCTGTGGAGTGGAGGACGTCAATCAAAGAAGCCTTCGTCATTCTATGGACACACGAGAGAGTTCATCGGCGGTTGAGAGACGCGGCGGTGAAGTTAAGAAGACATTGATCATGAAAGGTGCGAAGATCGTGAAGCCACATCGTTGTCTCTGATGGTGCCGAAGCCGAAATCCAAAGCCACGGCACGCTTGTGTCTACTCAGCAATGCTGCTGAAGGACGACATGTCAGTGCGTCTAGATTCCTGGCCATTGAGCCTCAAAAGACGCCCTCATCAGGACCGCTATACCACCCTCGAACCTCCTGAATATGACTGGTGACCCGGCCCGTTCGCCATGGTTTTGATCTCGTCAGTCTAGGAAACTCACTTCCGGGGGTCTGGGTTCAGATGTCGAGCTTCAGAGGTCACTTTCCAAGAAACAGCTGTCTGGTATTTGGTGAGACTCATAGTGGATGTGTTTGAGGTTCCTCGCAGGTATATACACGTATATTTAATATGGAGGTCTACCTCGGACTACACTCAAGTCTCACAACGCCCACTCCCTGCCTTACCTGACCTGGAGCTCAAGGTGCACCTACGTCGACACCTCCAAACCACCACAACCTAGCGACTACGCCCCTCTATCAACCACGATCCCACCAACGCCAATGTGACGCGACTACCACTGCCCCCAATGGCAACCGCGATACCCTCCATAGCCTGCATAGGCATAATCGGCCGTGAAGTGCGTGCATCTATTCTCTCTCCCACCTGGCCCCCTTGCCACCTCTGTGCTCCCAGCTAACAGCCTTGTCCTTCGTCCAGAACAACCCCCTCCATGTCTCCATCTTCCCCTCCTTCAACCCGCAGACCAATACTCTCGCCCCCCTTCGCACGCCACTCCAGTTCTCTCTTCTCCTCTCCTCGACCCTCGATGTCTTTGAACTCCGCGCTCGCCACGCTGCAGGCACTGGCACTGGCCTCTCTGGCGACTTCGGCCTCCTTCACGCCGTCGACGAGCGCCTCGCCGCGTACGGCTTCGAGACGAACACGGGCGTCAAAATTGTCGTCGTAGTCGATATGCGCGGGCGGAGCGTCGACGGCAGCGTCTTTGGTGGTGATCGGAAGTCTGGCACGGGCACAGGGACGGGGTCCGCGGGCGGTGGTGTCGGGTTGAGGGATGGGGAGTTGAAGGTCGTGTTCCGCGCGGTGCAGAGCGCGTACGTACGGCTCGTGCAGAACCCATTCTTCGAGCCGGACGAGGTCATGGGCAAGGGAGGAAAGAGGATCACGAGCCGCAAGTTCGACGGGGAGATACGCCGCATCGGCGAGGGTTGGACGCCGGGCGTTACAAGCTTGTGATGCATCGGCTCGTTTCGATGATGGAGTCCGTCTGAAGACGGTCAATCCAGGTCACACGGTTGGATTCATGGCGACGGCGTTACGGAATGCTTCATATTGGACGGTCATCGCCTGGTGGCTACCTACTGTCTAGAGTCTGGTGTTTAAAGGTTCCATGTCTAAAAACATCACATGTGGAAAATGGTCAACTATTTCCTCCATCTCTCCAGGTTCTTCATCGCCTCAACCCTCAGTCCCTGAAGACCAGCCGGTTCTTCAAGCTCCACAGAGGGGCCCATGGTCGCATCATTTCTCGACCTGGCAGCCTCATTTATATTGACCCTCAGCGGCGTCGACGGCGCTCCCTTCTCCCAGTGTCTTGCGTCTGCTGGAAGCGGCCGCCACCAGTCTCCTGCCCGGGCGTGCCATTGGGCGCTACACATCTCCCACAGCCGGCTTGCTGCTCGTTTGTATGCAAACCTTTCATCCTCGCCAGTGAAGGCGCTGGTGTTGCCAAAGTCTACCTTCTTAGCCTTCTCCTTTGCATCGTTCAAGCCAAAGTCGGAATCTTGGTCCGGATCGTATTTGGAGGTCGACGAAGCCGTGTCGTAGAAGGATATGTTCGGACGGAACGGAGAGGAGCTATCTTGATACACTTCGGCAATAGTCTCGCTGTGGATAGCATCGGCGTCCACCACTGGGTTTCCGTCCGCGTCCTTGCGACCTAACGCCCTCGTATCAGGGAAGAATAGTTCGTCCGGCCCTCTGGCCGCGCGGACGACGAGTTTACACTTTGCTTCATACAAAGCATCTAGGAGAGTGATAAAACGACGTGCCTCGTTCTTCTGCAGGACTGTCAAGACGGGAATATTGTCGATGATAAACGTATGGTAAGTCGAGGCCATGGTGATGTAGTCAGCTGGACCGAAGGCCTCGACAAGTTTCGCAAAGTCCCAGTATACTCTGCCATCGCCTTGATGGGGGATCAAAATCGTTCGCCCGTAGACTACCAGTGATGCAGGGCTCCAGTCTCCAACACTCGGTTGTGTACATATTCCCCGCCAGGCAACCTCGCCGTCCGTCGGAAGAAAGTATTTTGCGGGCTTCCCGAATCCTGTAGTATGCTCCTGATTTTCGACCTCGCCGAGTATACCGGCGTCTTGGAGGGGGCTTGCAGCCCCAATGTTGTCGAGGTCGCCGCGCTCAAGTACTGGTTGAGGCGCTTTTGTAATGTCCGTAGGTTTCTCTTCACGACGTCGCCAATCAGTAGCCCCCTCCATGTGCCAAAAGTCACATCGCGCTTTGAGCACTTCCAGGAAGGCTGCGAAGTCGCTTGACTGTCCAAAGAGCTCACCCCGCCCGCGAGCCGTTTGACTGGTGAAGAAGCTCCTAACAAAACCTCCTGTTGGCGGAGGAGTATACTCGACGCCAATGGCTTTCTGTAGTTCCTCTGGTACGCGATTCGACGACGCAACCAACACGCCACCCAGCTGGAAGAAAGCAATGAATAAATGGCTCAAAATCTTACTCGCAGCCCGGTCGGGCAGCTGAAATTCGTCGAGGAACAGAATCGGCGATTCCTCGACAAGTTTCTTGGCCAACCATAAGAGCGAATACTCCTGGTCGCCACCTTTCAGCTGTGGATGAGATCGCCTGAATCCTTCGAGTTGGGAGAAGGAATAAAGCATAAAGGTGTTGAAGTGCCATCTCTTTTTCCGATGGGTGGGTAGACCTTCGTAGAGCATGTCAATCAAGAGACTCTTGCCCCGGCCTACTTCTCCAGCAAGAAAGAGGCCTTTTGGTGAGTCGATTTCGAGGGCAGCTTGATGATTCGTCAGGACCCTGATTAATGCCAAGTTGTTGTTTCCCTCGGGTGCTGTAAACAGACGTTTGAATAACGGATTCCTCCATATTGGGTGGCTCTTCACAGCAAGAGTCGGCTCTTCATCCTCCGGTTTTGACGTGATTTCTGTTATCTGCTTCAGGCGTTGTCGGTATTCGGCGGATGGTGTGTAGTCCTTGAGACGGCCGTAGACCTTCTGGAGGTGCTTGGCCAAGCGATGCTGCGAAGGATCTGGGGAGTAGACACCTGTGGCAACCAAGGCCTGGTACTTGATCAATGGGTCTGTAATAGTAACCGAGGTGGATAAATGTCTCCTAGCCGCCTGAATCATGGCCCGAGAGGGTCGTATGCAAGGACTCATCCTAAAACATGTCTGGGCAATGAGACCTCGGCTGGGAAAATATTTGTTCGAGTCTTATGCCGAAGCAGATGTGTATGAACCTGGCCGATGAGCTATCAGTCGTTTTATGACCTCAAGAGCGCCCAGATCCGGTGGCGAACCGCTGCGGTTCTGATGGAGCCTATGTTGGTTGAGGTTCCATGTGAACAAGAAGGCAGAGACGTATCGAGTAAGTGAGTAGCCGACTTGCGCCCGGGTCCGAAATCCGTATTTGCTGGGAGCGAACCTGTTTACTGAAGCAAGTCTAACGGTATTTAAAGATAAGACTTGAATAGCCCACAAATGGCACTAAATCAGTATGGAATTTGAAGCCATCGTCACCGTGACAGTGTGAGCTCTTGAAACCGTTTGGTGGTGTTTGGCAATCTATGGTGACGTTCACGACTTAACGGGATTACATAAGACAGGGTCCGTCAATAGTGCGGGGCCCAGCCATGGAGCGTTACTCAACGAGGCTGTGAAATGGTCGACCGTCACGGGCACATGTATGAACTGCAGCGATAACTGATGGTCATTTATGAGTCAATACTCCTGACGTTCTGACACAACATCGCTTGTCAATGTCAATCAATATTTTGCTGCTGTGCAACTTGAAAAGATGCGTTGGAAAAGGGGAGCATCCCAACTTCGTACCACGAGGGTCCAGTCGACGGCGTGTAGGCGTACGATTGTGCACGATCCGAGCAAAAAAACGTTCACTATTACACTAAAGGTACCTTACCTAGGTATGCTTGCGTAGTCATATCAGGGGGCATTTAGCAGATGAAGAAGTTACGCGAGTATGCGTTCTCTAGCGAATTCAACAACCATTGATAGAATCCACCATGTCTACAAGTATTGGCTTCTTTTACATTTACCTTTTTTCTACATCTAGATCTATGAGGCAGCCTGTGCTAGCTCATTCTTAACCCATCCTACCAACCCGCCCTTCGCAATAATTGCTTGCAGATTCTCAGGGAACTCTCCAACCTTCTCCTCCCAGCGTTCGCCGCCCTCACCCTCCTGCACCTCAATCTTGCTCCGGGTAATATCCCAGGTCAGGGTCCAGCCTGTACGCCGGGTAGGGATCTTGTCTTTTCCGAAGGTAGTGCGAAGACGCTCCACCAAACGTGGCAACTCTAGACAAGGCAGCGCATTGTTGATGCCGTTCCGGACAAAAATGTTGGAGAAGCTGCCCGCCAGAACAAGCGGGATATGCTTCGCCAGAAGGGCTGTCGCGGCTTGCTCTCTCGATGAGCCACACCCAAAGTTGAAACCGGACACGAGGATATCGTTGGGCTTGATAATTGTCCTGAACTCCGGGTCATAGTTCTCCATGCAGACTCGTGCCATGTCTTCCGTCGTCATGTCGTCCTGATATGTGTATTTTCCGGCATAAATGTTGTCGGTGTCCAGGTTGTCAGCATCAGCAATGTTAATATCTCCGGAGATCTTCGTGGGGAAGCCTGGTAGGATCTTCGTGACTGCTTGGGCAGCACCATCGCCGACAGGAGCAGTCGTCTCGACCCTTTCGATGAAAGACTCGAGCTGTTCGAGGACATTGCCGAGCTCGTTCTCGATGGTCGCAGGTTCTCCAGTGCCGTAACCGTGCTGCACGCCCGTATAATCCTCTGGCACCTTGTAAACGCCAGGGCCGGAAAGAACGCCGCTCAGGGTGCTCGCAGCAACAACCTCGGGGCTACTGAGGTACGCGTGCGCGACTTGATATGGTTAGTATTCTTGATGCCACAAACGAAGTTGATTGAAAAGGAGAACTCACGCCGCGAACCGAGTCGGCCCTTGAAGTTGCGATTTGATGCAGAAACACCTGTCTCGCCATCCTCGAGCAAGCCCGTGCCCTACATTTTAATATTTAGCATAGAGTCCCCATAAGAATTCATACAGCGAAGCAGTGGCGACTTACCAGTCCGATACACGGGCCACATGAGGGCGGAAGCACCGTTGCTCCGGCCTCGACCAAGGTCTGCCAGCTGCCCTCATCCTCAGCAATAGCCTGCTCTCTGGCTGAAGCTGCTGCAATGTACAGCTTGACGCCATCTGCAATCTTGGGGATCTTCCCATCATTTGCCTTGGCAGCATTCTGAAACACCTGGGCCGCAGCCTTGAGATCCGAGCTTCGCGAGTTGGTGCAGCTCACAATGTATCCCTTGTCAACCTTGATGTTCTCTTTGGCGAGGTCATGGAGCGGTGTTGAGATTTTGACCGAGTTAGGACCAGAGATATAAGGCGAAAGAGTAGAGAGGTCCAGGTAGAGCTTCTTCGCATACTGCGCTCCGGGATCGGCTCGGAGAGGGTTGGCAAAGAGTTCGTCAACCATTTCGTGCGTGATCCGCTGTCGAGTCGTGCGTTCCTCTAGCATTGCTGCCTCCGTGGCCTTGTATCGGAGCCAACGCTGTAGTGTCGTATCGATGGGAAACTATAAAATGACCAGTTAGCCGGGCTCATAGAGATGCAGTGTAGCTTGAGCAGGTGCCATACCATTGCGGATGTTGCGGACCACTCAGTCGACATGTTGCTGATTGTCAGCCTGTCGTCCATTGGGATGCTGGCCATGGTTTCCTCGGACCCCGTAAACTCAACGCTGTGGTTCAGCACATCCAATGGGAAGAGTCCACAGAGCGCAATGATGACATCTTTTCCGCGGACACCAGGGGGCAGTGTGCCCAGCAGGTTCACCTGCACGACTGGGGGACACTGGAACCAACTCTTGCCGGTAGCAAAGATTCCAGCCGCGTCGGTCCTGACCAAGGCCACTCCCAAGCTTCCTAGAGCTCCGTACATGTTGCTGTGGCTGTCGGAGCCAACGCACAGGGTTCCGGGCCACACGAAAAGCTCTTCAACCTACGCAACCGTCAGCAAACCCAAGAGTCGTTGGCATTCATCTCATGCAGCGGGGCTCACCATAATCTGGTGGCCAATGCCATGACCCGCAGGGAAAAAGTTGACTCCATGCTTCTTCGCAAATTCCTGGATCTGCTCGTACTTCTTCACGTTGCTAGGGCTCTTGTTCTGTACGTCGTGATCAAGTGCAAAAACAAGCTGGGATGGGTCCTTGATCTTGGTGGCACCCGTGGACATGAACCTCATGGCCACAGGCCAGGTGTTGTCATGCGTGAGGCATCTGTGAGGTTGAATTTGGACGTAGTCGCCGCTTCGAACGACCTTTCCGTCTGGAAGGTTGACAGAGTAGCGTTGAAGGATCTTCTCCGTCAGCGTTTGCGGCGCTGTTGTCTTCTCGGAGGCAAGATTCGGCAGGCTTGACCCTTGAAAGTTCGTATGAGAGGTGGACGCCGTTGTTGAGGCATAGCGCAACGTGGGCTGGCTGAATTGGGAACGGCCGAGGCTTCGGCGAAGGCTCGTGTGAACGAGCGATCGAGCCCAAGGGGCAGTCATGGCGACCTGTGCAGAGAAATCAGTGTCTGCCAGATGTGATATCGTTCCAAGTCCAAGTTCAGGAGCCATAAAACCTACCGCTCTTGCTCTGTAAGACATGTTACGCTCGTTTCAGCGCAAAGCGCATGCCTTAGACAATCAGTGTTGACGAAGATATCGATAGAATAAAAGTGACTAAAACGCAGCAATGACCAAAGGCCGACTTGCCATTGGAGCAGTCACACTCGGGTATGCAAAACACGGGGCCGATGTCGGCACACCCCAGAACGTTTGCCTGGCCCGGCTGAACAGAGATCAATTCAGTAATGCATGTGCCGGGGTCTATGGACCCCCGTGCCAGATGCTTTACCAGGGCACATTAGGTAAGCAGAAGATACGCTGATGACTAAGAACCACAGCAGCAGGATGTGGGTCAAGGTAGTTGTCGTGGCAGACTCCCAAGACTCCCAAGACCAGAAAGTCGGCGTCAGGCAGGCCCCACTTGTTCCTGCTCGTCTTGTTGATGCAGGGTGAAGTGTTAGCGTGGGAGGAGCTGGTCCAAGCTTGGCGACTCCAGTAACCGTCAGTGTTTTTTGAACGAGACCCAATCGATCTATGCCCTTCCAAGGTTCGTCACGCTGGACATTGTCTGCCAACACCGCTCTGCATCTTTCCATCACCTTTGCTAGCTGTTCCGCATCCTGAGCCTCCTCGACCGCAGCCCAGCATTGCCTGGCCCTGCCTGTTGTCATTGACCCCGACATGCTTTCCTAACTTGCGCCTGAGGATACAGCTTCGTCAGTAACAAGCAGCATCGCCATAGACTTCGCGCTTGGGTGTGAATACCCACCTACCTACCCTACCTACCTACCTACCCAACCAAGCCTACAACCATCCGCTTCGCAATTTCGATTCACAATCTCCACCGAACATCGCGCATATTCCATCATCGCAATGTTCTCTCCATCACAGCACGAAGGCGGTCCTGCCACTGCGACGAGGAGCCGTCGCAGACAGCGACCTCTGAGCTCCGACAATCTGGTCCAGGCTCCCAAGGCCAAACGCCAGCGCCTACCACTTACGGAACAGACCTTCCAAAACCCCGACGCGAACGCAGCCCCAGCTGCCCCGGAGACCTATGAAGTCAAGGCCGACAAGCCTGCGCATTTCGACGCCAGGCAGGATGGCTTCGGATTCGAGAGCAACCCATTCCCTAAGAAGGAGCTGAGCGTTCGCGCCAAGAAGCCCAAAGCTGCCGATCGCGCGACCAAAGGAGACGGAAGTGTCATTCTGGTGCGCCTCTCACAAATGACTCCAGGGTGACTTGTGACTGTGCTGACTCTTTTCGTTTCAGACAACAAACAATGCGTACACCGTCAGCAAGCTGCCCGCTTTGCCTGACCGCATTCGAGTTGACGCGACAGGTAAGGACAGCGCAAAGACAACTTCCAGAAATAACCACGTGGCTGACGTCGAAGTAGGTCAACAACATGGCGACATCTTCTCCAGTGGCTACGCCATGAGTTTGAATCACACGCACGCCATCGTATGGCCCTATACCACTCCAACACAATCCCCCGAAACCTTCACATTCACGCTCCCTTATCCATCCAAGCATGCAACCGAGCCGCTGCCGCTTGGATCGCTCGTGTCGCCTTCTGCATCGTCTACTGAGCCTGGATTGGTTGTGGTCATGCCTGTCAGCGGAAGGATTACATACTGGGAATCGATATCGAGCGCTGCGACCCTAGATTTCATTCGACAGCAGCGACATGGTGTCGAGGGGTCCATCCCGGGCATGTCATCGGGAGAAAGAGTCATCCAAATCACCAACGCTGAGTCCGCAGGCTTTATTCTGGCTTTTACCAGTGGCAGGCTGGCCTACATGAGCGTCCGCGACACACATGGCAGGCCCTTGGTCTCCGTCCAATTCTTGCGGACAAGCCTTGCTTCTAGCACAGGAGGCATCTTCGGCAGCATCCGCCATGCCTTCACGCAGCCGCAAGGCCGTGGCGACATCGCAGCCGTCCGCGCGGAACGACACATGCAGCCAGGCGAGCGAAATATTGTCGCAGCCACGTTGAAAGGAAGACTCCACGCTTGGAAGATTCACAGGGGAGGAAATCATGACACCGTGGCGGAGGCCGATATCCGTGAGGATGTCATCAACGCCATCCGAGAGGTTGACCCTCTAAGCGAGGATTACCACCAAGACACGTTCGAGGTGCTCGATTTTGCCTACGTTCCAAGGGATATGGAGGAAAAGTACCAAGACCTGAGCAGGCTCAGCAACGCGTTGGCGTCGAAAGACCGCGACCTGCAGCACCTGCTTCTTCTCGTGAGTCTGACCAAGAAGAAGGAATCTCACTATTCCCTAGTCGAGGTCATCCTGTCGCCGAAGAGCGCAAGCATCGGTATGGTCCGGCCAATCTCCTCTTTCAAGACCCGCTTCGCCCCTGTCAACCCAGCTCAGGCCACCAGACCTCGTCTTTATCTCCCAAGGCCAGCTCTTGTCGCATTTTTAGTGTTCGACAAGGCCGTCGTGGTGGCATCCATTGGGTGCCCGCCTGAGTCACCAGACTCGCAGCTGCAAGAAGACAACCATATTATTCCTCCAACCTACGAAGACGTCATCAGTTTGAGTGACAACAATCTGGCCGAGATTGTTGGCTCTGGGTACGAGGAACCACTCGCAGCCGGTAAATTACATGAGGACACAAAGACCCACCGTCACAAGACCAAGAATCCAGCGACCGTGTTGATGGTACGCGGCACAGGCATTATTCGTTTGACCACGACGGAAATCGACAGATTCGCCAGCGACCAACCACCCAAGGTCAACGCCAAGAGCAAGCTCGAGCAGGCCGTCTTTTTCGGCAACAAGCAGGACACCCCCCTCAACTTTGACGGTCGCCGCGGAGTCCAATTTCCTGATACTGAGATGGCCGAAGCTGCTGTAGAACTGAGCCAAGAAATCCTTGGCTCTTCTTCGCCTCATATTTCCACCGCGCCCGCGTCGCTCGAAGAGCACCTTAAGAGCCGGACGCTTGCCCTCGAGAGGCTGATGTTCCACTTGAAAGTTCTCAAAGTCAACCTGGATCGATCAACGAGGTGGAAACTCTTGGCAGCCGCAGAGAAGATGTTCGTATCATCACTTCTATGGAAACTACACGAAACGTTTACCCAGGAGCGCGCACCCAACGACAAGAAGGACATCATGGCGGAGATTGTCGAATTCATCCACAACTCTCAGAAGAAAGTACCTAATCGAAGTGCTGGGGAGGTTGACCGTGTCCGACACTGGTTCGTTCACGATATCGAGAAGATGGAGACCTTTGTGGCCTGGGGGTACGAGGTTATCAAGTACATGTACAAGGACCACATTCTCGACGACATACGAATCACCCGCCTGATCCATGAGGCTATCCAACTCAACCTCGTATCTCTGCGTATGGCGTTACAATACCGGAAAGACAAGCTTGCCTTCTACGGGCTCCAGGAGGAGGACATGGAACATGGCATCCTACGAACTATGGATGACAGCCTCCCCGAGTTCTGGACCGGGTCACGCCACATCGCGAACAACCTGCGACGTCTCGTCGAACTGAGCCACACCTGGCTTGATCAGTACTACCCTGCGAAGGACAAGCCGAAGCAACCGGATCCAAAGCTCATGGAACGTATCAACACTGAGATGGCACCCCTGACAGATTGTTACCTCGTCGCTCTGCTCGAGCAGTGTCGCTGGAGCGCTACCCAGCACGATTCCAAGATGATTCAATTATCGGAGCAATTCAACAAAATTTACGATGTCGATCAAAACGACAAGATCCTGGCGCTGCTTCGTCTCGGCAAGTGGGATGAAAGCACAAGCATCGCTGAGAAACATCGATCGTGGAAGGCTCTTGCTGTATCGTTGATTGAGCAGATCCATGGACTACGGAAGGAAATCGACCTGACGGCCTCGGCCGCAGACATCCCCGCTCTTCGATCTAAAGCGGAGCGGAAGGAGGCACAGATTGGAGTGTACTTTGACAAGTACGGCGAGGCTTTCGCCTTTCCCACGTACGACATCCTACTCGAAAGCGATAGTGTGCAATCCGTTCTCGACTTTGCCTACGACAAGCATGGGTACAAGACCAAGTTTCTCAGACAGAAGCCCGAGCTCGCGAGGATATCTTGGATCAACGACATTCAGGAGGAGAAGGACATTGACCATGCGGCGGAGACTCTGCTGGATCTAGGCCTGAGCCGAGAGCAGCAGGTGTGGAATAAGAAGATCGAGCTCAGTCTGGGCAAACTAGCCCTGATGGCAGAAGCAGAGCAGCCTTCTGAGTCCTCGCCAGGGCTATTCGGGTCGAGGCGCGTCAATAAACTCACCGTTGCCAAGGACGAGGCCAAGCAAGAAGAACAACTCGACGAAATCGACAACGAGCTAGCCATCATCCAGATCCAGGACGACCTATATAAGCAGATCTACCCAAGCGCCAGTGTAGCCGTGGATGACTCTGCGGCCCTCGACCTTGCCATGGAGAGCCACGCGACGAACATTCCGCGAAAGCAAAAGGCTCTGAACCAGATTTTCGAGAATGGCATGAGGCGGCTCCTTAAGCACGAAGCCCTCGACGCCATGACGCTCATTGATATGCTCACCTTGGTCGCGCTCAAGCCTGAAACAGCCAGCGAAATGCAGGATCCTTTCTACCTCGCCTTGCAGGTTGCAGACCACGGCTTGAAGAGCGAGGAGCTCAAGATGGCCAAGCGTCTCATCTGGAGGCGATGCTACATCAGGGATGACTGGATGAAGCTCAACGACACCCAGCTCAAGGACGATGCTCAGGTCCAGGAAGCACTTGGCGAGACGGCGCTGTTCGGCGCCCTCATCACGGGCTATCATCATCGTAAGTGCCATGCCCTCGCTATCGGTAGGGTTTGTTGTTCTAATCATGTGCAGAAACTCTCGAGACGCCCTTCCACTATGTCCGTCCATCTGAGGCGCTCGGTGCCTTTGTCGACGGCCCCGATCGTCGTTTCCACGACATGGACAAGCCATTCCGAGAGAAGCTTGTCCAGAACTCGAAGGAGGAGGACACGCTGCTTCGCAAGTACATTGACAAGGCGCGCCTGGAGAAATGGGCGAGGTCCACGGCCGAGACGGCCGAGACAGAGGTTGCGGCCTACGCGGACGAGCAGACCAGGGCCGGGGCGGAGCAGACGGATGGGGACGCAGAGTCGCTCGACGAGACACACAGCAGTCTCCGACTGAACGGCAGCACAAACGGGATTCACTAAGGGCCCTTTCACAGGCCGGATGACTTGTTGAGACTTGGGGTCGGAGAATTCGGAGGGTGGGCCAGAGCCTCCCTTTGGATGAGGGCGACAAAACCAAAAGCAAACGCGAGAAACAAGGGCGGTGGCGTTTTCTGAGCTGACTTATTTCGTGTATTATACTAGGCCCGAGTCGTCGTACGGGTCTCGTCTGGCTGTTGGTTTTCCCCAAGACGGTGGAGGAAACCTACCTACGTATTCGCTGCGGCGAAGCAATGACATACAATTTTCTTGTGTTGCTTGGCTCTGTATTTTGGCCCATCGTCACTTGGGGCGCCGCTGTTCAGGATCTTCTATGCGCTGCAGTGTGAGTCGAAACGAACATGATTCGGGAGGGAGCTTCGGCATGTGAGTGTTTGCTCAGAGGGTGTTTATTTGCCATAAAAGGCCCAGCGAGAACTTCATGCCATGTGAGGTGAGCACTGATGTGATCCCTGCGTCGCGTCGGGCCTATCGTGGACGATGATTGTAGTAGAGTCGCGAGACGAACCTCTCAGCCCAGTTGTCGCCGATGAACGAGAGCCCAAAGTTTAATAACCTCAGAGGAGAATGGGGTGGGTTCCCAGCATTCTGCCTCTGCATCCAAGATTTTTCCTTGATACATCGTAGCTACCACACGTGCTCATGTCCCACCAATATACAACCAAGCTCCCTCAACACAGGCTACCCGTCGAACTGCCCAATCAGACATGTAAATACGCCAGGTCGCTGAGCCAAATAGCCCTGAGTTTATTAGGCTAACCATCGCATTCGCGGACTCCATCGATAAACCGTCATATGCCCAGTGCCCTCTTTGAGGCTTCACAACCAATCCTACAGACCGCATCCTACCATAGAGCCCCTGATTTTAGGCATTCATCTCGTCATCCGTCACCCTCTCTGTCTCCTCTAGCCCTCGGAGAACCTCTTCGATATCGCTGGGGTCGGTGATGGCCCACACGCCGCCACCCTTGACCGTGTCGTGGCCCTTCATGCCGACTTCTTTGCCGACGAGGTTTCTGCCGACGCGGCCGGGCCCGATGCCGACCCACCTCCTGACCTTCTCCTCCTGGTCGAGGTACTTGATGCTATCCCACCAGCGCACCGTCTCGAGGCATTGCCTCGACAGGAGATCCTGCAGCTCGGCCTTGCTCTCGAAAGGCCTCGCGCTGACATTACTGACGCACGGCAGCCGGCCAGGAAAGGTGACAATGTCGTCGCCCTCGCGCCCGGGCACCCGACTCTTGCCGGACAGCAGGCGGCGCATGGTGGCGACCGCAGGCCTCATGATGGGGCTGTGAAAGGGGCTGTCGCTGTTCAGACGAACGTCGCGGGCGTCGTGGCCGAGGAACTTGCCGCAGGTGAGTGACAAGGGTCTTGATGCGGGCCACGTCGCCGCTGAGGACGATTTGATTTTTTGGAATTGACATTGGCAATGGACACCTGCTGGAAGGGCGGCAGGTCGTAGTTGGACTCGGCTTTGCTGCCCTGGGAACCGCCGGGGCGCACGAAGCGGTCGACGGCGGCGACGAGGCTGTCGAGGTACTCGGGCTCGGTGATGACAGCGACCATGCCGTATTCGCCGCCGTGCTGTTCAATGGCAGCGCGCGTCGCATCCTCCATGGCGCGGGCGCGGGCACGGACGAGAGAGAGACTGTCGTCAAAGGTGATGTAGCCGCCGGCGACGAGGGCGGCAAACTCGCCGAGGGAGTGGCCGAGGGTGACGTCTATGCGGGCAGGGGTGTCGAAGCCGAACTCGCGCTCGAGGATGCGCAGGATAAGGATAGAGGTGGCCATGATGGCGGGTTGGGCGTTGGATGTCTTGGTCAGGGTCTTGCCAGGCCCGTCGCGGATGACGTCGGAGAGCTTGTAGCCGAGGCAGTGGTCAATCTCCTCGACAATGGGTTTCGCGGTCGCAGGGAAGGCCTCGATCCAAGGGGTCATCATGCCGACTTTCTGAACGCCTTGGCCTGGGAGCGGCAGTCAGCAAAAAGGAGGTTGGAGAGGGGTGGTGCGCCAGAGAGCCGCCAGAGAGCGCCAGAGAGCCGCCAGAGAGCGCCAGAGAGCCGCCAGAGAGCGCCAGAGATGCGTACCTGGGAAGAACAGTGCCGTCCGCGGCCTCTTGGCCGTGGAGGCATATCTACGGGCAACATGTTGGGAGGCAGATGCGGCAGTCGCTGGTGTAGTTGGTGTTCTCGAGGCAGCTCGTGAGGCATTCACGATGCGGCGGCTCGTGAGAGGAACCCTGAGAGCAGTCATGGCTATGTGCCCGCCAGAGGCGTGGCGCAAGGTCTAGGGGATCTCGATCATGGGAGGGGAGCCCTGGTGGTCGGAGGTGACAGGGTGCAGAGGTGTAGGAGAGAATGCTTGCTGCTGCTAGAATGAATGGCTTCGACGACGGCTGCGTAAGGTATGGTAATGGATTGGGACAACGGCGCCCGGCCTAGCGGGTTGAAGCTCCTGGTCAATGAAGCATGAGGGTCGAGGTCGGGAATCGAGGTCCGGGTCAACCCAGAGGCAGGCCCCCAGCACATGCCGAGACGCGTGACGCCAGAGCCCTGGGCGGTGGGCGGTGGGCGGTGGGGGGCAGTGGCAGTGGGTGGGCACTGATCGTTTAGTGGCCGCCTGCAGCCGGTGGCCCGAAGGAGGGAAGGGGGAATCCAGTGGGGCCTTCTTGCTCCCCGCATTCCACCCGTCTTCTTACGTACATACCTAGGTACCTACCTATGTACCTAAGGTAAGCAACTGAGGTACTTGACCGCAGTACCTGGGAAAGAACCATCAGAGAGGCTCTTGCAACGAAAAGGGGCGTGCGGACATATGGCGGTCCACTGAGAATCTGCCAAGAGCTAGATACCTAGTCTGTGATACTGGTTTTTCGGCATCATATAATCATGGGGGTCATCTTGGAAAAATGAAGATGCGAGGAGCCAATACAACAATGTTTGGTGTCCGCATTGGCCAGCAGGCCGCTTGCCCAGCAGGCCGCTTGCTCTCGACTAACAGCGAATCTCAACCCCGCCGTGGCTGACCGTCAGGTACTTGACGCCCTTGTACGGCTTAACCCCGTCACCGAGCCCCTTGCTCTTCCTCGGGTCAATCATGATGCTCTCCACCTTGATGCCGCTCGCGAGCCATCCCTTGACGGAGAAGCTCACGGACGCCGACGTCGGCATCAGCATCTTGTTCTGTGCCACCTTCTTGGCACCCCTCTCCTCCTCGTCGCCCGCCGCGGCCTCCTCTCTCGTCTTGCTCGATGCGCTTTGGTACGGCTCGTTGTAGGTGTACTCTGCGCCGAACCCGAACCCTGACGGGTCGAGCTCCTGCTCGTCCTTGTCCGGCAGCTGCCCGACGACGGTGCACCGGAGTCCAAAGTAAGACGTGCTCGACGGCAGCTCCTTTGTCGGCACATGCCACTCGAGCAGCTTCTCGCCGGGGTTGTAGCTCGCGTCGCCCTTGCTCGGCCGGATCTCCGAGAGGTTTCGCACATCCGCCGGCAGCGGCACCTTGATGACGAGCTCCTCGAGCAGCGGCGCCCCTGGCGACCCGGAATGCGGTCCGCCACGGCCGTACTGGCTCGAGGATGAAGACGATGGGCCGCCGGAGCTGAGCATCATCTTGTTCACGTGCAACCGGACCTCGAAATCTGCTCCCACCGGGCCCAGCCCTGTCTTGATCTCGATATTGACGGGCAGTTTGAGGTTGCCACCCTGGCCCCCCGTGAACGGCAGCAGGTCGACTTCGTAGCCCGCCAGGATGAAGCGTCCGTCAGGCGGGATGAAACTGAGCTCGCCAGGCCTCTCCTTCCACCTCGCCAGCCGCACACAGGGGTGGAACACTGGCAGGTCCATGATGCCGCCAAGATTGTGCTTGCCCGAGGGGCTCGTCAGGTTGAGGACTATGTCGGGCACGCCAGAGACTTTGCACGTGAAGGCTATCGTGCCGTTGGCGAAGGCGGCGAGGGGTCGGCCCGAGGGAGCGAGCGTGACGGTGAGCGTCTCGACAATGTCGGCGTAGAGCTCGTTGGACGTGTGGCGGACGTTGGCGCGGCGCCAGGGCAGCGCGGGTGTGTTGGAAGGGATGAGAGAGGGGGCGCTCGAGTTGGAGAAGCTCGTCGCTAGGTTGCCGGGTTTCCTGTCACCAGTCAGACGGTATGCCCTTGTTGCTGTTGTTCTTATCGTCTCTTGCCCAGCACATACCCTGGGAGGTTTATGCTGCCGAGCAGCTTGCCCATCCACCCCTCGACCTCGACGAGATCTCGCAGCGCGTTGGGCTCTGTCGTGTTGACAATGCCGGCATCGCACATTTCGTTGAGCAGCTGGGCCACGACATCGTAGTTGTTCTCAATCTTGTGCGCTATCAGTGGTGCGCCGAGAAACTCTTCGAATGCGTCGATTACGCGGTGGATGAACTCGAGGGCGAGCAGGGGCTCGACCTCTTGCGAAGACGTGGCGATGTACAGCAGGTTCGCATGGTGCAGGCTGAAGACGAGGGTCGGCGGGTTCGTGTTCGGGAGGTAGATGAGGTTGGGCCGTGGCGCGGGGTGTTCTAGATAGAGAGGCAGGAGGTGTTGGGCAGAGAGCGGCCGCCCGGTGTAGGTGTGCGACAGGACGGCGTGGCTGGCTGGGTCAGGGCGGCGTTCGTGGCAGCCAGGGCTCTCAGGTTGGGACGGACTGACTTGTGCTCATCAAAAATGTGCAGCGCTTCGATAACACCGCTCATGGTTCGAGGGGCCGCTCGCGGGGTTGTTGCGAGGCTGGTTGGTGGGTGTCAAGCAGGCAAGACAGGGCGAGGCGAGGTACAGGGAGAGAAGTCCAGTGGTCGGCCTGTTGATCGATCGTGCCATGGCGGGGGGCAGCAAGCTCCTGCCAGGAACATGATGACATGAAATGCCCACGGTGACAGCCCCACATCGGCGGTCGGAGCTTCAGAACTGCGACATTTGGCTGCCAGTGGCAGGCAGTGCTGTGCCGTCTGGTCGCATATTTGTATTCTTGTCTCCGTCGAGCACTCGCCGAAGCACCACCATCTCCCACCCAACTCTCGATCCCACTTCGCCTTGTCTGCTCCTCACCATGGCGGGCGACGTCCCTAGTCTCAGCTCTCTCGACAAGCCTGAGAACCTCAACGATCTGCTGCGCGCCGACCGTGGCGATGATTGCACGTCGTGCCGTGTCATCGGTTCGTCTGCCTTGCCCGTGACGATGCCTCTCTTGCACACCTCTGCTAACCTGATGGCACCAGGCGGCGGCGCTTTCCTTGGCCTAGCTGGTTACAACTACTTGACCGGCATGTCGCATCTCGAGAAGCAGCGAGCGGCTCTGCTGCAGCGCAAAACCATGTTCGGCATGCGGAGTCGCAAGCTCGGTGTGACGGGCATCTCCCTGGGACTCGCCTACCTGGGCATCTGGAGGCTGTTCAAGTAGAGCGCTATGCCCAGGCAAAACATCAGGATGTACGGGATATTTGTACAAGAAGATAGAGATACCAAAAGGGGGACATACGCACCCGAGTGACGATGCTCCGAGCAGGGGGTCGAAGCTGTAGAGGCAGCTGGCGGCGTTATTGCCCACAGCTCGGTGCTACAGCCACGCATAATGATATTGTAAAACATTGTAGAAGAAAGAAATCTAACTGTCTTATTTTCTCGACTCTAATCGCGTACTGAGCATCCCCGGGTGTTGTGCATGCTGTTTTGTGAAACTACACAGGACCCATGGATCCGAGTGCACCCTTTGTCAGGTCCAAAGTCCGTCACTTGCCAAATGGAGTCTCAGAGCTCACCTCCAAAAAAGTTTCACTTCACAAGCTCAGTCCATCCCACCCAGCACCATCACTCAACCTCACAACCCCATCTTCTCAGCAGCGGAAATACCACGACGCATATACATACAAGAACTGCACCTCAACCTGACAGGGCACATCTGAACGCTCACCTCCCTCGTCAACGGCACACCCTGCCGCCCCCATACCCAATATGCCCATCACAATCCATGCGCCAAAACCCACGCCGCAGGTTCACACCAACACAGTCTATGCATCCGACTCGGACTCAGACGACGGCGGCGGCGTCGATCTCGATGGCGACCTCAACATGAGCCGCCCCGCAAAGCGCGCCCGCAACGCTGGCCACCATGATATCGTGACGCCCGGCGAGGTCATCACCGACGACCCCCAGTGGATGCGGTACCACATCTCTCTGTTCCACTTGCCTGATCATCGTGCTAATCATCGATCAGAGGCCACGGCACGTACGTCAGCGCGGCCGACGGCTCCATCGTGTCGTCCGTCGCCGGCACCATCACCCGCACCAACAAGCTGCTGTCAGTGCGGCCGCTGCGCGCGCGCTACACGCCCGAGATTGGCGACCTCGTCGTCGGGCGCATCGTCGAGGTGCAGCCGAAGCGGTGGCGCGTCGACGTCGGCGCCTCGCAGCTCGCGACGCTGCAAATCTCCGCCATCAACCTCCCCGGCGGCATCCTGCGCAAGCGCACCGACACGGACGAGCTGCAGATCCGCTCCTTCTTCGCCGAGGGCGACCTGCTCGTCGCCGAGGTCCAGACGCTGCACGCCGAGGGCGGCGCCAGCCTGCACACGCGCTCCCTGCGCTACGGCAAGCTGCGCAACGGCCTCTTCTGCGCCGTCAGCGGCACCGGCGGCGGCGGCGCCGGCGTCGTCCGCGCCAAGAGGCAGAGCTTCGCCGTCGACGCCTCGGCCCGCGGCGCCGACCAGATCGAGGTCACGCTCGGCGTCAACGGCTACATCTGGATCAGCAAGCTCGTCAAGGCCGACGGCGAGAGCGCCGCCGCCGCCGGAGAGGTCGTCGGCCTCAACCGCATGGAGGACACGGTCAGCGCCAACGTCTACTCGAGCCAGAACGACCGCATCGATACCGAGACGATGCGCGAGATCTCGCGCATACGCAGCGTCATCATGGCCCTCGTCGAGAACGGCCTGCGCGTGGACGAGGACACGGTCTCTACTGGGTATCAGATTGCTGTCGACATGGGACACGAGAGTGCCGAGGACGACATTTACCTCGGCGGAGAGAGGGGGCAGAGGCTTGCGGCCGCCATGATCGCGAGCGAGGCCTGAGTGCTCTTCGTGGTTCACGTGGAGGCAAAAAAAAAAAGGTACAACTTTAATATAGTATTCATTGAAAGCCAGTACCTCTTAAAATTCAAGGCATCCAAATCACGCTATGCATTTGTTCTAGTAAAATCGACTGTCCCGGCGTGGGTGTGGTATATCAAAGCCCAAATCCTCCGTTCCGCTTCGTTGTTGCCGTCATATGACCCTTCGCTCACGCCGCCGCGGCAAGCTCTGCACCAGCAAAGTAGCCCTTATTCTCGATGACGCCGCGATTCTTGACGAACGCCGTGTACTTGACGACCCACTGGGGCTCTAGCTCTCCGCGCAAGCCGTCGTGTCCCTCCACAGGGTCGGCCAGAACGCCGGCGCCCTGCAGGCCGTGGCCGAGCAGCTCGCGCAGCGTGCCCTTGGGCAGCACGTTGGTGCAGTCTGTGTGCACGAGCAACTCGATGCCCTCGGCCTTGGCCAGCTGAATAAGAGGCGGCGGCACATTGCAACAGTTGTGAATGTTGATCTGGTCGACGGCTGGCCTGACGTTGACCCTCTTGAGGAATGCCGCAAGCTTCTCGGTGCCAAACTCGGCGATCCCAAGGTTGCTTACAAGGCCCTGACGCTGCAGATCCTCAAGGACAGCCCAGGTCGCGGCCTCGGCTTCAACATCGCCCTGCTGGGCATTGCGCTTGTCAGCCTCCCACTCGCAGTCGCCCTCGAAGGACATGTCGGGAAAGCTGGCAATGAGTAGGTCGACGCGCTCAATGTTAAGCTCGCGGCGGACAAGGGCCAGGGCTTCGCTGGCATGACGCGCGCGGTCGGCGACCGAGGCCGACGGCAGGAAGAAGAGCTTGACCGTGACGTCGTAAGCAGAGGGCTCCTCCTGCAGGCCGGCCAGATCCCAGTCAATGCGGGGCACGTAAAGCGTGTCGGTATGATCCTCGTGGGCTGTCCAGATATCGAGGCGCGGGCGGCCGTTGGCGTCGAAGCGCGGGCTATTGGAGCCATTGCTGTTGCTGGTGCTGTGGCCGTTGCCGTTGCCATTGGTCATATGGCCATTGGCATGGCCATTCAGGCCGTTGGTACTGTTGCCATTGCTGGTGTGACGATTGGTGAACCCGTTGGTCTCGGCCGGGGTCGTGACTTCAGCCTCAGACTCGGGCGAGGCAGCAGCAGAGTAGTCCTGCTGGGCGGCGAGGAAATTGCTTCGCAGGGAATTTGTGAGTTCGAGGTTCGAACGGTATGCGCCGGGTTTGCGGATAATGGAGGGGCCGCCCGAGACGATGTTCCTGTTCGTGGGGCAAGTCAGTCAGCCAATTTTTTCTTCTTTTCTGATTGTCCCCCGCTTCTGTTGCACAGCACAAGTACTCGTCATTACAGTGTCACCGGTCGCTTGGTCATCATTCTCCAGCGACCAATGTTGCAGTGACCAAGAGAGAGGATAGGGCGGTACGAACCCGGTGGAGAGGATGAGCTTTGTCATGACGGATCGCGACGAACGTCCTTTTTTCTAAGCCGGGACGACGAGATAATGCAAAACAGGCGAGGGGTAATACTGGCGCCCTCGGGCGTCGGCTGTCGACGGATCGGGATATTGTGGATGTGTCGCCTTGTGAAAGCGGGATTGCGCAATCGATAATCTTCAGATGAGAAGGGATATGGGTGTGAGCGAGAGACGGGTTGGAGGGGTAGACGAGCGTTGAGATGGGAAAGTTAATATGCTGGGGGGAAGGAGAGAAAGGCCGAGGGAAAAGCCTTCCAGTCCACCAAGGTAATAGTAATAATAAGCAATCAGTCTTTCCAGGTCCTCCAGGTGACAAGGAAAGGGCTGAGTCGACCTCGCGATAGTGCCTGCTCTCGGTCTCGCCGTATGCGGAGGGCGCGCGACTTTGGCTTAATAATGGAAGATTCAGCGAAGGGGGGGGGAAAGGCCGATGCGATGAGTGACAAAAGTCGAGATGACGCGCTTGCCTGTCGTGCCGCCAAAGCATCTCCTGCCAAAGCGCACCTAGGCGCCCCCCCGCTGCAACAAACCCCCATGCCATCCTTGTCCGATAGCTAAAGCTGACGATGAAAAAAAACCCGAATGCCGTCTTTCATCCGCACTGGACGAGTCAGGCTGACGCATCATGGCAGCACCCGGCGCTGTAGTCCACTGGTAGCGCGTTCCGTAGCCTGTGGCCACTCTGCAGGCACTCTCTGGTGCAGCGCAGCGTGGGATGTCTTGGAGGCGTCACACTGCCAGCCCACGGTCGTTGGCGCTTTTACCCCCACCACGACGGGCCTGTGAGCGTCTTCAGCGCGCCTCCAGTGACCGTAACCCTCTGCCGCTCGGCCGTCGTGTGCCCCTCCATCCCCTCCATCTCTCTCTCTCTCTCTCTCCGCCCCCATGCTCGTGCCGAGGATGGCAAATCTTCGGTTAATGGGCTGGAAGGACCCTGCACCTCGAGAAAAGGACACCGCGGAGGCTAGCTCTTGAGCCATTAGGGGAGCAAGGTGGGGACAGCTGGCTGGCATTCGAAAGCTCTCAACTGCCTCCTTGTCCAGTCCAGTACACTTCAGGTCGTCGCCAACCACGGTCCGCTTCAACCACAGCCAGCACGCCCAGAATTATTTACCTGTCAGATCCACCATCAGCCTACCAGCTCACCTTGCTCAAGCGACGTCAGCTCTCGGCTTGAATCCCTGGAAAAGCCTCAACTCCACGTACCTCGCTGGGTCAGCGGTCTCTTTCCACCTTCCGCCTCCCCTCACGTCCCAAGGTGCAGGTGGTGTGCAATACATCGTCTACATCATGGCGATCCAGTATGGCCTGCCCTCTCTCACTCGCGCGCGGCAGCCGACGAGGCGACCCCTGACCGGACATCCTGGCTAAGAGACGACACAGGTACTTGATCCTCCTGTCCAGACAGGGCAAAGTCGTATGTTCATCCAGCCAAAGCATCACATAACCCCGTTCCTGAAGCCATGGCGCCTTGTGCTGACAAGGGAATCATCACAGCGTCTGGCCAAATGGTTCACTACCCTCTCGCCCAAGGAGAAGGCCAAGATCGTCAAAGATGTTTCCCAGCTGGTCCTGGCGCGCCGCACTCGCATGTGCAACTTTCTCGAGTACAAAGGTCGGTCCTCGTCACGAGCCAACGCAAACAAGTGGTACACCCCCGAAATCTGACGTTCGGCATGCAGACTCCAAGATCGTCTACCGCCGATATGCCTCTCTCTTCTTCATCGCCGGTGCCGACTCGGACGACAACGAACTCATCACGCTCGAGGTGATCCATCGCTACGTCGAACAAATGGACAAGTACTACGGCAACGTGTGCGAACTCGACATCATCTTTTCCTTCACCAAGGCGTATTACATCCTCGATGAGCTGCTGCTGGCCGGCGAGCTGCAGGAGAGCAGCAAGAAGAACGTGCTGCGGTGCATTTCGCAGCAGGATGCACTCGAAGATATGGAGGTATGTGGCCGTCTAGCTTCGTGTGGCACCCCTCGCTGCTGGCCTGGCGTCAGAGCTGACCCTGTGCCCCCGCCACCCAGGTTGAGGACGAGGTTACCAAGATCCTTTGAGGCCTCTTCAGTTGTCCTCACCCTTCTACGTCCCCGCACCTGCCCAGAGTCGTGCCTTTGGGGTTGCTCGCAGGACGTCACCCGACGGAGGATGAACGGCGCGTCGCGTGGTGACGGTTCCTTGGCTAATGGACTCGACCATGGTCTCACAGGATTCGCAAGAGGTCGAGCATGCGCTCAAAGAAGCAGGCTTGATGTGAGACACCCGAACAACCTGGCCAACAGCCAACGTGACCAACGACATGAACGACAGCAGACCGAACGACAGAAGCAAGAGGCAGCAGCAGGGGCAGAGTCGAAGAACGACGTCCGTTTGGGACACCAACCGACGAGATGGCCGAGATGGAACGGCTCCGTTGGGGTTGGAAATATGTGCATAGATCTTGGAGGGCGGACAACCGCCCTCTATCAGAACCAAGAGAAAGAACACGTGGCAGGCGTTGGTGGCAGTGGCGGCTCCTCACCAGAGGCGAAATGTCGCTCGAGCCGCAGCTCCACCATGCCGGACAGCTCATTGCATCCCTTTTTTAAGTCCCAGGTCAGCACATGCCTCACGAAAGAAGAGAGACAGGCAGACTGCGGACGAGGGATGGGTGGGCTGCTGCGACATGACATGTGTCATGGTCACCCCAATATACGATACCAACTTGCCTTGCCTTACGAAACGCGCTCCGCTTTGGACCTGCCATTACTTAGTTATTGCTTCACAGCTACCCACCGGTTAGTTTTCGACAGATTCGTCGTGCTTTGGTCACCGCCCGTGGCTCCAACGGACGGTCCCATTCGTTTGTCGTTTCCTCCCGCGTCCCGTCTCAGCAGCGATCGAATGTTGCTGCACCCTATCTTCTCCCACCCGGTCTGACTGACCCAGCCTGAACTGACCCGATCTGTCCTCCTCTCACCAGCACACAAACACACACGCGCACACACCAGGACAAACGTCGGAAACAGATTAGCAGCTCCTCAAGAACCCGAGCTACGCCTGGCAGTAACATCATTAGCCTGTGGTCGTGGGACGCCCCTGGCCAAAGGAACGCACCCACCTACTCCAATCTGACTATCCGACTGGTCAAAGGGGTCACTCGTCCTCAATGCCCCGCGCCATTGGCGGACCCGCTCGTCAAAGTGGATTGGCAGGACCCATCCCCCTTATCCCTTCCCTGTCCGACAATGCGAGTCCCTCCCCCGCGTACCCATGACAGTGCTGCAGCCGCACCCGGAAGCCCACGCAACAGCTGCTGGCACGTCCATCGCACGGCAATCAGCTATCGGTAACGTAAGGTAGCCAGCAGCCAGCCCGGGCTGCACACCTGTCTACCTACCCAGCCAGTATCAGCGGTGCGGTCAAAGTCGTCGTCTGTTTGGACCTTGTCTTGGTCCCCAACCCTGCGACCGTCCAGCTTCCATCATCACCTTCCCCCTCCATCTCACCCATCTGCCGACACTCTGCCACAAAGGCAAGTAGGCTTCGCCTTGGCGCCTCGATCCCAGTTTCCGCGGCTGCGCATGCGAAATGCTCAACAGCCGCTGTACACTTTCCCCTGTCTAGGTGCCTCTTACCCTCACAGGCCAAAGTACAAAAGCTGCTTCACGTCTGCCACTCTACCCTTTTGGCCCTATCGCCGACTTGGTTCCTGCAGCACAAAGGCTGCTCATGGTTTCGACACGAATAACCTTTACGCCTCTTCTTCACTTCATTACCATTTAAGCCGCCTGGCATCCAATTATCATCGCCCTGACCTGATTTCCATCGTCAACTCTCGCCTCAACACACCGCACGAAAGACAGCCGACCCACGCTATTGCGCCAGACCGGCATCGGCTCCGCCCCCATCCGGCGCATCGCGACACTCCACTTGGCCTGACCTTGTCTGACATCACCCGACACCCTACGCGACGACGACAACAGCTACCACCGCCTCACCGTCCATCCGCTTCGTGCTCTCCTCCATCAACCCCATCGGCTCACAGCGCGCTCATCTCGTAGTCGCTTCGGCCATCACAAGCCCAGCATGAAGGTGTGTTGCGCTGGGTGCTATTGCGCCCCTCGAGGCACCTTTGCCTGCTCGTACCCCTCAATACTGACGCCCGCTTCCAGTACCTACCGATCCGCGACTTCGATACGGTCGCGAGTGCCCTGAATTTCAACACACCAGACTGCAATGTCACGGGTGGATGCGACCTATATACCACCAAATCCACCGGCGCCGACAAGAAACTCTTCAAGACAATCAACGATGACCTGACATCACAACACGAAGCGCTGCTGAAGCTCGGCGCCAGCCTGTCACCGCCCGACCGCGAAGCCATGATGGCAACGTCACCAAATATGCAGCTGTTCTCGCATTCGAGCGCGTTCGGTCCCCTCTCCGAGCTGTCCAGCCGTCGCACCTTTGCCTACCTCATCGCGACACTGAACGCCAGCCATCAACACTACGACTTCTCTAACGTTCTGATGCCGGGTGACTTTAAGCGGGAGAAGAACCTACGACGCGTCATCGGCAATCTCGACTCCATCCTGCAGAACGTCCGACCACATCCGGACGTCCGACCAAGCGACATCAACTCTTCGTCGCTCACAGACTCAGTCTGGGGGCCCCACTGTTGGGCCATGATCAACAAAGAAATGCGACTTAACGAGTGTACCGTCTTTTCCTACCAACCCGAGACCGATCCGTTCGAGGAGGAGGAATCCGCCATTTGGGCGAGTCACTACTTCTTTTTCAACCGGGCGTTGAAGCGTGTCGCCTACCTCTACGTGCGCGTTGTTCCCGTCGTCTCATCACAATCACCAGTTCTGCGGGCCAGCATGCCGGCGTCCGACGGTCTTCGCAGCAAGAGGCCTTTGAGCAATCATTTTGTCGACACTCCAATGGGCAACAAGCGGGCCAAGTACTGGCTGGGCGATCGTGATGCTAGGGTCGTGCGCCACGACGACGATGACGAACAGAGCGACGACTTCAACTGGAACCGCGGGGCAGACGGTGACCTCGTCCCATTTTCGGAAGACGACTATGGCGACGGCAACTATTACTACGACGAAGACGATGAAGACGATTCGAGTAGCGGCAAGGGTCCCATGCGCGAAATGTCAGAGGAGGTCGTTGCGCACATGGAGATCTAGGAGCCCGGGTTTCGCGGCCCATGCAGGGCCCTCCTCTGCTAACGTGTGTGCGCGGGCAAGCTTTGATGCTCGCTGGGTTCAGTTTCTCTTTTTTTTATCCTATCGTTTCCACGGCTGCAATCAGTCTGACTTATTTTTTCTTCACTTTCTTCGAACGCCCGCCATCAACTGGCTGGGTTTTTGCTTTGACTAGGGGCTTGGGTGGACGACATGAGATGGCGAAGTCTCCACGATACGATGATATGAAAATGATACCCTATTTCTTCGCCAGGTGGCGCTGGCCGGAATCCTAGGGGGGGTTTTCCAACTGCATCGTCGCGAAGGACGAAGTACGAAGGACTCGGCAGGGCCGGGTAGAATGCGTGGGGGGGGGGGGGGAACGGTAGAAATCGGGAGTCTGGCAAACGGTGCCGATCCTCATGCTCCCAGGCATGGCCTCGGGGCGGGGCAGGGGCAGGTCACGGCGGTGTCTGGAGCAGGTCCACGCACGGTCGGATGCCGTGACTGCGGCGTATCGAGGTGTTTCTAGGCGTTCAGTTTTGTTATGAGCAAAGGGGGGGGGGATCAGCCGTGTTTTTTTTTGTATTGACTCTTGTTCGACTCTGTGATTAGTACGGTTCGCCAGGATCTGGCTGCACACGAAATGACATTGTTCTCACGAAGCCTATGGTGCCTCGTCTCGACCTGCTGCGGTCTTTGGTTCTACGTGCTGGTTATAGCTATCATGAAGGGCGAAGTGGAATAGCTCGATACGGCACAAACAGAGAGCTGATGACTAACGAACACCATTTCCAACACCGGGCCGGTCAATCCATGGGTAGGAGGCAGGCGCCACCAGCACGGTAGCTTGGGCAGGTCCATATAGCAGCAGTCCTTCCCCGCGTATGTGTAGATCGTGCAGCGTAAGGTAGCTTCCACACACTGGAAATCCATTCCCACTGCGTCGGCAGTCAAGACCTGGTCCCCTCATGCCCAAGGGAAGACAAAGGGGTGCATGTTTGCAGTGCGCCCGGAGCAAGCGGAGGGTGAGCGCCGTCCCTCCTCCTCCTGCGGTATGCACTGCATTTGATGATGAAGCTGATGGATCATCTGCCTATCTACCTAGTGTGATCACAAACAGCCGCAATGCACACAGTGTGCCAAGCATGGGCAGGAGTGCGAGCTTCAGACGTTCAAGATTTCGACGCCGGCAGTGTTTGATTCGAGGCACTTGAGGCGCCCGGTGCCTAAGAAACCACTATCACGACCAGCACCCTCGCAGCCAGAGCTGCAAACCCTGCCGTCAAGTCTTCTGTCAGCCACGTCGAATGCTCGGTCGGTGTCAGACTCTGGAGCCTCCCAGTCATCGCCAGGGGCTTCAGGAGACCTGGACCTGGATTTCTGGGCTGCCGACTCGAACCCTGAAATCGCAACGGGCATCGTCACGGCTCTCCCGAATGCTCTGTTGCCACATCTCGCAGCAGAGTCCTTGCATGGCAGCAACGACCATGGCGCCTCTCGTCCCCGAGACGAGTGTCCAGTGCCCATCTTTACGAGCCCCAGCCAGCTTATGTTCACCGGTGGTGTTGCCACTGGCCCAGACCTTACCGAGGCCATCAACAGCACACCTCCCTCATCCTTGACAATGCCACCCTTTGATGACGATGTTCTAGAAATTGCAAAAAGGAACGACATGTTCCCAGACGCGGCAGCGCTACTCGGCAGTCTGAGGAACATGGGCGCCAGCTCCACCTTCGAGCTGTCCGCCGAGTTTGTCCCTCGTCACCTCTACTGCCCCATGCCTTGGCCTCCTGACATGCTGGCCTCGTCGGAGCGGCGCTTCCTCTGGCAGTACTTCCTGAGCATCGCTGAAGCCGACTTTTTGTGTGTCGATTGGGAAGACGTCGGGCACCTGTATGACTTCCAACACCCCTACATCACGACACTACCACGCATGGCGCTCTCGAACGATGCACTCCGCGGCGCCATCTTCTGTTTCGCAGCGTCGCAGTACCAGCTTCGCCATGGCCGATCCGACTTTGAAGCGACCAAAGGTTTCACCAGTTCAGAGGCGGCACTGGCTTTGAGCGCGCAAATGTCGCGAGACACAGACGACAGTGGCCTCCTGTCCATGATCAGCGCCGCGACACTGCTGCACTGGTACGGCACCGAGCCACATGACTACCTGCGTGTCGCCTCCCTGCTTGTCAGCCAATACCTGACGCGGACCAAGTCTACAACCAACGCCACCACATCCTTCCCCGAAGTTCCTCTGACAGAGTTCCGATGGAGTGTCGTGTCCACGCTGTGCTCTCTGCAGCAGCCCAGCAGCCCGCTTGGAGGGCACGTCTGTGGTATGATTGAAATGAGTGAGAACGAAATTCAACGGAATTACTCGCGGGCCTTCGAGCGCTGGGTCAGTCATCCAATATACTCTTTTTCCCCACGTCTCGTCAATCCTTTGCTCAGGATAGGCCTTCTGCTGGAGACGCAACTCCTGCAGCTGGAGCTCGAGGATGGAGATATCCAGCCCGACCCCTCCTGGCCTGCTCACGTCTCGGAAGCGGAAGACATGCTGCTGCAGGCTCGAGACCGCGACATCAACGTATCGCGTTCAGCCTTGGGCAGCGCAGACCCTGCAGCCATTCTTGCACTCAATGAGTCCATGTACGCGGCGGGGGCCGTCCTCCTCTACGCTCGTATCCACGGCCTCCCACCCACGGCGCCACTTATTCGCCGACAAACGCAGATTATCGTTGATGAGGTCTCCAAGATCCCCGTCGACTCGCGAGTCTCTTTCGCTCTCGTGTTTCCTCTGTTCATCGCAGGTTGCGAGGCTATGGAGCAGATGATGAGGGATACCATTGTTCAGAGGCTTCGCGATCCTGGGGGCGTGACCTATGTTCGGGGTGACCTTGTCGGCGCGCTCCGTCAAATTTGGGACATCAGAGATCTCGAGCCAGGGCTCCCGTGGCCGCACTGGGTGAGGAAAGGTGAGTGCTTGTCAGCCCGTACAGTCTGGGAGCTTTGAGGTCTGACATGTCGTAGTGGAGCCACGGTATCGAATCAGTTGTCTGATGTAGTTGTACATGTGGTCATCTGTGATACTGCGCGTGTTGTACAGGTAGCTCGCTCAAACTAACGACATGTATACCCAGCGCCATATATGAATATCCCACCACCGCAAGTCTCCTGATTACAAGTACACCCTACAGCTTAGGCCGCGTACAACAGCCACTTGTGAGCTCTGACGTCGTATCCTTCCCACTAGGAACGTTGATGGCGGGGTTTGCCGTGAAGAAGTCTACGGGCGAGATGTGCAGCTCCATAATCTCAACGGGCCTATTGACGTCAGTGTTGTACGTGCGGGCAGGAGACTACTTGACCAAGATGGACTCACATGACAGGCCAGTCTTCGACTCTAGGATTGTGTGTGAGGCCGAAACAGCTCCACAACACCACATCCTGCTGCAAAAGATCGTCATTGCGCGCCACCATGTCGGCGACGCCGCCTGCCTCCCGCTTGCTGGATAGAGGGTACTCTCCGGCAGCGTAGAGTTCGCCGTCACGGTACTTGGTGACCCAGAGGTGGTGCTGCGCGAACAGGCACCGGTGCGCCTGCGTGCTGCCGGGGTTGGCAAGGACTCTCTGGGTTGGCGGCGGGTTGATCTTGTAGCCGACGGGCCGCCCAGAGATGGGGTTCTTCTTAGCAAGGTTCTGGATCTTGAAGATGCGGTTGTTCTCCGGACACGCGTCGACGCCTACCGAAGTCAGTAACGGCGTATCCCTGACCTCGTACAGATTGCCATGTGGGTTGGTGCGCGCATCCATCCCCGCAGGTAGAGACTCGTTCTGGACGACGGTGTTCTCGTGGCCGTCGATGGCGGGATCTATACGAACGCAGAAAATGTGCTGGTGGTTCTGGGCCAGAGCGCCCGGGTTCACTACGGTACCCCAGGGCGCCGTCTTCCCGGCATCAATGTTGACCACCGACACGATGCCCGTCGCTCGCGTCTCGACGTTGATGGCGCCGGCTTGGTCGAATTTGTACTAGCACTTTGTTAACGGTATGTCCTGCAAATCCCAGCTGTTGAGGGGCCTTACGTTGAAGATGTAGTCATAATTCGCCAGCGTGATGATGAACTGGACTACCAGCTCTCGGCGGCGAGTTGATACGGCGCGGCCGGTACGCCAGTTTGTGTGCTTCCAGCCGATGCCGTTGTCTTGCTCGTGCAGGCAGATGACACGGGGTGTCTTTTCCGCTTTTCCCTCGGGGGTACACAACACACCGTCAAAGTACTGCTCGTCATTAGCGATGCAACAAGATCCCACAGCCTTCTGTGGTTTTTACCTTGATGACTCCCAGGCAGTCGCAGCCCAAAGTCAGATTGTTGACGGCATGCCCGATGCCGCCGTCACCAAAGTCAAAAGCCTGCTTCCGGTGAAACGGCGGCCGAGGATCGGCATATGGCACGGTCTTGAACCGTTAGTCGGGTCTCGTCTACTATCGGAAGACTAGACTGGCTTACCATTTCACTCATCGAGAGGCGATACAACACGCTCCGGTCATCGTAGTAGACATCGTGAATGACGGCACCCTCACGAGGGTTAAAGCTGACCCTGAACCGCCACTTCTGCCACTCGACAAGACTCTCATCCTTGATCGAGAAACTCGGGCCCTCGGGCTGAACGACGCTGAGCGGTTTGAGGTCCTTGCGAGTCCCCCCGGGCAACAACTCGGGAACATACTCAGCCGGAGCGCAGTGGTCGAGGATGGCGCCCGTTCGCGGAGCTGCGGGCACGAGATCATCACCGGCCCCGCCTGTCGCGAGCTCGTCAATGCGGACAATCTCGCGCTTCTCAAAGTCCATGACCGGGATGATGGGCAGAGGGAATGCGTAAAAGTTGGAGTCGGGATTTCCGGACCGCGTGTCGACGGCGTACACGAGACCCTGGAAGTACCTGCGCACGCCGCCCGGCTGGTCCATGCCTCCGTACGGCCACGGCTCGATGACGACTTCGAAGCCTTCTGGAAGCGCAAACTGCGCCACCCTTTCGCTGAGCACGCTAGACTCCTCGCATTTTTCGACGAGAATGTCAAACTCCCATCTGAACTCTCGTTAGCGAGAGCTCTCTGCCCCAGATGGGGGATTTCAGGGAGAATCTTACGTGCTGAGTCCGGCCAGATACTCTGTTCCCACGACGTCTTTCTTGACGACGAGGCCGCGATCCAGATCGACGACTGCCTCGATCTCGTCCGCTTTTCGGTCCGCCGCCTGGTGAGCCCGGACGTAGTGCACTGCTGCGAGACGCGGCGGCCGCGGAGAGTCAGGCCGCAATGACCCCGAGTGCTCGAGGCTCAGGAACGCAGTGAGGTCGGCCTTTTTCGGCTCCTGGCGGTAGATCATGCGGAACTGAATCACCTCTTTTGGGGATGATTGCAGAATAAGGTCACTTGCCCGGTTTGTCTCCTCTCCAGTGAGAGGAGACAAGGGATGTGGTGCCGAGTGAGCCATGTCTTGAGCGGTTCGGAAGCTGATGTTCTGTGTATCACTTTGAGCTCTGATTTCTCTGATTTCCCCAAAATTCAATTGTACACTTGATGTCCAATTCGACTCGACGATTTATTCATATTCCCACAGAGGGTCATGGCCTTTGGACCAACAGCCGAGGAGCTGTCCCGGACTTTACGTAAAGCACGCCGATACCGAACCCCCGGGCGGAGCCCAAGCGGAGCCCCCGGCCAGCCATGTCGGCCAGCCATGTTGGGAAAGTTGCCCGATCCGGCATCGTTGCCCATCACCGCGCTCTAGGACAAAACGGGAAATTTAACCGCACGCATGCACGGACCGGTGTGCTTTGCCTTCTACGGCGCTCTTCGTCATGGGTAGTTCGCCTGCTGGTCCGATGATCATCAGAATATCGAAACCTTGCAAGAGCTCATCTGATGGCACGGCTGGTGAGGGACGCAGCGCCACTAGCTGGTTACACTGTCCGCGGAATACAGGAACACAGCCTTCTTCAAGTCCCTACAAGAAAATTGCCAACATGGGCCTAGCGATCTTCGAACTGGGCGTATGTTGCGGCTATGTTTCCTCTTTGAGCGATCGGCAAGTCTGGCAGCTGAGAGGCCAACGGCCATTGCGTGGACGCTTCTTCCCCACACATCGCTTATCTGCCGGACATGACCACGCATGGGCGAAGGACGCCCCGCGATGACCGACGATGGGCTGGAACTCCGCAAATGTCATCCTGGCAGCTGGCGCCTTATCGCGACCCTCGAGACGGTTGTCACGGGTAGGGGTAGCTGAGGGGTAGCAATGCCGTCTTGATAGCAAGTATACCCGTCGTCTGGGAGGGTGCTGCTGCGGTCGGCTGTCTCCTCATACATGAAGTCGACGCCGCAGGCTCAGCCAAAGCGGAAGGTCGCATGGCACGAGGCGATGTTGATGCTCAGGATCTGGCTGCCTTGGGCCACGAGCAGATGCTCACCCGGAAATCCAGCCTCGTGAGCATGCTTGCCATGGCCTTTTGCGTCCTCGGAATCTGGGCCGTCTTTGCGCAGAACCTGTCCGCCGCCCTCGAAACCGGAGGTCCCGTCAGCATCTTCTGGGGCATCCTCCTCGTTCTCTTCTGCAACGTTTGCATCGCCGTGTCCCTGGGCGAGATGTGCAGCAGCATGCCCACTGCGTTGGGCCAGGCATACTGGGTCTCTCGCCTCTGGGATGCGCCCTCTGGGAGGCTGCTTTCCTACATGTGCGCCTGGACGAACACGTTCGGCTAGTGGGCCCTGACGGCGTCGCAGAATGCCTTCATGACCGAGCTTCTCCTCAGCATGAAGGTCATTTTCGATGTTGACTGGCCGTGGGCGACCCGTGGCTGGACCCTCTTCCTGGTTTACATTGCCATCACTCTATTCTTCAACGGCTTCAACCTGATTGCATGCCGTAGCGATAAGACGCTACCTTCCTTCAACAATGGAGTCGGCGTTGGCTTCGTCGCCCTCTTCGCCGTCATCAGTTTGGCACTACTTATCTCGGTTGGGACGAAACCAGACTTGGAATTTCAGCCAGCATCCTTCGTCCTGGGAGGTTGGACAAATACGACTGTCTGGTCCGATGGAGTGACATGGCTTGTCGGTCTCATCCAGTCAGCATATGGTGTGTACTTCCAACTCCAACTTCTCAGCGGCGCCTTGTGGCGTGAACTCGCCCGCTTTTCTGACGCCAGACAGGTCTGACTGCTTTCGACGCCGTCATCCACATGGTCGAGGAGATGCCGTCGCCCCGTCGCGACGCCCCGAAAGCCATGTATCTCGCCGTCATCTGTGGCGCTGCCTCGGGGTTCATCTTCATGTTGGCCACGCTGTTCAGCATCCAAGACTTCGACATGGTCCTCAACACACCCACGGGCTTCCCCTTCATCCAGGTCCTCGAAGACGCCCTAGGCCGAACAGCAGGCACCGTGCTCGTCGCCCTCTTCATCGTGAACGGCTTCGGCCAGGGCATCAGCGTCATGACCTCGGCGTCGCGGCTGACCTGGGGTTTCGCCCGCGACGGCGGCCTCCCCTGGGGTTCGTACTTCTCCCACGTGGACCCGACCTGGAAGGTGCCGGCGCGCGCCCTCTGGCTGCAGTGCTTCATCGTCTGCCTCATCGGCGTGCTCTACACCTTCGCGTCGACGGTCCTCGAGGCCGTGCTCGCCGTCAGCACCATCGCCCTGACCATCTCGTACGCCATTCCCATCTCCGTCCTGCTCGTCGTCGACCGCGACAAGCTGCCGCCAGGAAACTTCTCCCTCGGCCGGCTCGGCCCCGTCGCCAATTGGGTGTCGCTCGTCTACTGCGCCGTCACGACCGTCTTCTTCTTCTTCCCCAGCTCGCCCAACCCCTCGGCCACCGACATGAACTACGCCATCGCCGTCTTTGGCGTCATGCTGCTCGTTTCCTTTCTGTTCTGGGTCGCCAGGGGGCGGGTCACGTACCTCCGCACCCAGGGCTCGGCGGAGCGTGACGTACAGGCCCGGCGTTGGGAGATGGAGAGCTATGACGGGCTCGCGGTGGCCGAGAGCCATGCGCTGGCCACAAAGTCGAGCCATGTCGGGTTAGCCAAAGCTCGCGACTGATCATCACACTGTCAGGTTGACTCTGACTGTAACGAACGCTGCCTATTTCTTTGTAGTCTCCTATGGTCCATATCGTAGCATACCTTACTTGTCGGAATGATTGCTTGAATCCGTTGGTCAGATTGGCAGCGGATTGAATACACTGTTTCATAAAGGCACGCCTGTGAAGTAGATCAACTTGACCAAAAAAGACACTCATAGTACCATTGGCGAAGTATCAGAAGCCCGTCATACGGCCTCAATTAACATATGCCTTGCCGGCCAGACTACTATGTGCACACGTCAGGGGTGGTCCCCAACCCCGTCATCATGGCGCGTATATAATTCGAGCATATTCCAATGCCAAAACCAAAGTCCCGGTGCTGAGATTTTCAAAAACTGGCAAGGACAAAGTAAAAGGCATTCATGACTGGATATCTCTGCTCGCAACCCTGTGCTCCTACAAATGAGTGACTCCTCCCTGCGCACATGTCCCATTTTGTTTCCGATGCCCTTCCTGATGCCGGTGTCGATCCGGGCAGAACCTACAATATCTACAAAAACGAAAGGGGGTAAAGGGGAATCATAGACAGAGGAGCCAAACGCCGACACCCAAATATTGCTGCATCCTTGGTCGGCGATGCTCTCTGCCAAGTAGGTGTATTAAATAGCGAGGGTGTGGGGTCACCTTGGTGCCCCGTTCACCTTCTCCGGATCTCTTGGTGTGGTCGCGGCTCCGTTTGTCGGAACTTCATGTGCCACTGGTTTCTCCCGAATGGCGTCTTCAGGCGTCGTTTTCCTCGTCAAGCTTGACGTTTCTGCCTCTTCTTCAGGAATGGTGGCGAATTTCATGAGCACCTGCTTGAGCGCTGGACGCCGGATCGGCTTGCTCAAGAACTCATCCATACCACTGTCCATGCACTCCTTCACATTGCTGGCCTCCGAGAACGCCGTCAGCGCCACAATGGGCGCCTTGTAACCCATTTTGCGAATGAGTTTGGTTGACTGCAGACCGTCGAGGTTAGGCATCTGGACATCCATAAAGATCACATCAAAACGGAGGTTTTCGTCCATGTTGGCCTTGACCAGGTCGTACGCTTCCTGACCGTCTTTGGCGATCGTCACGTCGTAGACCTCTTCTAGCTTCAACATCTTACTGACGACCTCGATATTGGTTGAGTTGTCATCGGCGACCAAGACTCGCAGTTTGCCCTTGCCGTTTTTATTCGCGATGGCGCGCTTAATGGCGTCCATCTGATCTTTCGTGTTGCTGGCCGGTTTCGGCGTGGGAGATGCTGGGAAGAAAGGTTGTCGCAAACCCACGAGTCTTGTCGTCTCCTGGCCGGGCTGGATCGGATCCATCTCGTCACCTGATGCGATCATGCTGCCAGTTACGCTCTTCCTTTGGGGGCTGTCTATACCTCCGTCGATGAGATCTAGACTAGGTGGCCTTGACTTGACGCTGCTCGATGCAGTGCTGGACGCTCTGTAGAGTCACATGTTAGTTGCTGGTCCCGCCCCCAACTGATGAACATGTGCATCTTACCTGTCCCTCACATATTTGAGGGGAATCTGCATCGTGAACGTCGTGCCTACTCCAACGGTACTCCTCAAAGTGATGGAACCTCCCATGAGGGTCGCCAGCTGATGACATATACTCAAACCAAGACCGGTGCCGCCAAATTTCTTGCTTAGGCCCAGGTCGCCCTGAACGAAAGGCTCGAAGACCCTCTGCTGCATGTTCTCTGGAATACCAGGGCCGGTATCCTCGACCTCGAATTCGAACATGAATTGCTTGGCGCCCGGGGGCGGTGGTGTGGGCGATCGTTCTCGTATCTGAACATGCGGTGTGGCCTTCGGATCAGCAGGGTTGATCGTAAGTGCTGTGCCCTTGTAACTAGCATTCTGAATTTGTTGCGATGATGTAGAGCCCGCCTTGGAGCTGGCCGAGTGAACCGAGCTTGAGTTCAGCCTGTGACGCGATCTACCGAATCGTCTCGAGTCTTTGGAGAAGGACGATGTGCGGCTGTCGTCGCCGCCAACCGGAGTTTCCACCTCGCCTATGCACCGGATTCTCACTTCCACCCGGCCCTCCGCTGGCGTGAATTTGAGACTGTTGCTGACGAGGTTGATGAGAACCTGCAAAATTCGGTGTTGGTCGCCCCAGAGACACATGTCTTTGAGTCGTCCCATGCCGTGGGGACCGAGGGCGGGTAGCTTCTTCTCTGCACTGGTTCTGTCCACGCCAGGGTTGATCTCGACGACCTCGGAACTCAGGAAATCAACAGAGAGGGCGATACGGCCTTCCCGCACTTGTTTGTCGAAAATGGACAGCACTTGCGTTCTGATATCAGCCAGTCTGAACTCCCTTTCTTCGAGGGCTAGTTGCTGGCCAATCTGGTTCTTGGAGAAACTGAGGAGATCCTCGAGGAGATGGAGCAGTAGGTCGCCTGACTTGTATAACGTCTTCAGGCTTTGCTTTATCCTGGTGATGTCTGTCTCCTCCATGCTGACGGCGCACATACCCAAAATGCCGTTCAGGGGCGTCTTGAGCTCGTGTGAGATGTTGGCAATGAAGAGCGTCTTGCTCTCGTTGGCAGCCTCAGCTGCCTTCTTGCTGATCTCAAGTTCTCTTGTTCGTTCCGCGACCTTTTGATCGAGTGATGAGTATTGCTTTACCAGCTCGTCGCTCATGTCGTTGAAAGTCTGCGTCAACTCGGTGAGTTCGTCTGAGATGAAGTGCTTGCGATCATCGACTTTGCCGGGGATCTTGAAACTTCTGCGCGTCGATTCGCGTTCGTGCTCCGAAGGTGACTTTTCCTTTGGTTTGTATCCCACCAGCTTGAGGAGAGCCACTGCGAGACCATCTCTTTTGGACCTCTGCGAGCGTGAAGAGATGTCACCGGACCCCGGGCTGTCGTCGTCATCGCAGTCGTAATAGCCATCCTCGTAGCCAGGTGGCGCCACGGTCTTCTCGGTGGCAGCCTTGAGCCTGCGAATGGGCATCACGCTGAGATGGGCGCAAGGGAAAATGAAGATGATAAACAAACCGGCGGTGCCAAAGACACACCCCAGGATGATATTGCGAAGTGTCGAGATGGGCGCATCTGTCTCTGACTTTGCTTGTTCGACGACAACGGTCCAGTTGACAAGAGGCGTGTTGGTCCGTGCGAAACCAACGGCGACGGGAACGTTCTGTTCGTTGTGCGTCGAGAGCATAGAGCTGGCATTGTTGACCGTGTCGAAGCGCTTGGAGAAGGAGTCGAGAACGGCAGGGAACTTCTCAATGGCAAAAGGTTCCATGTTGTTGCCATCCAAATACCTACGATCGCTGTGTCGGTCGGCCTGACCGGCGATAGGTTGAGGCGGCAAAATGAACTGCACAGGTGTGTCCCCGAACCTGTCTCTGTCAGGGAGGAAGGTAGCGTTGCTGACCGGGTTTGTAATGTCGAACCGGTTGGTTGGGCTTGTAGGACCGACCACCAATACGACGCCCGTGTCGCCCAACCCTTCCCGAGACTTGCCGACTTCGAGCAGCGATATCGATGTGAACACTAGCGTGATGTATCCAATGACAAAGTTATTCTCTCGTTGGTCTCGAATCGGCACAGAGATGGACATGAGAGCAAAAGTCTCGTTGAGGATAAGCGGCCCAAGCAGTAAGCCGCCGTTCGTAGAAATGCGAACACCTTGAAATGCTTCGGCGATGTAGGCACGCTCCTCTGGTCGAACCTGGCTGGGACGACCAAGATCGATGTAGGTGATATTAGGATAGAGCTCTGGAGGGTATCCCTCTTCCGTGTCGCTGAGGAACACAGGCTGGTTGTTGGGCCCACGGTAGGGCAGTTCGATCGGGGTTTCATTGACGCGAGCACCCGTGACATTGACGAGTCCGTAGTTGTTGCCGGTCGAGTTTCGTGAGTAGATGCGGCCTTGCAGAAGGCCACCGAGCGAGCCGACGGAGAGAGCACTCTCGAGGTCGGCTTTGGCTATTTCCCAATTTTGCTCCGTCTCGTTGCCGTTGTAAAATTCGTAAATGGAACGCTGGATCAACAGCCGCGAGGATATTGTAAGGCAGTTAGTCTGAACCAACTCAAGCTCGCTGGATATGCGCGAGGCCTTGAGAGAGGCCGTCAGGGCAAGCTGGTTGCTCTCGACATCGACGACGAAGCTGTTGACATAGATCCAAACGGGCACTGACAATATCATCAGGGCCACAAGGACAGCCAAGACGACAAGCAGTGCCAGTTGTTCCCGTATCGCGATCCGGACGCCCATCTTGCCGGGTTATGAAGTTGGGGTGAGGCGGTGGCCCAGTTTCGCAGTCATCGTACGCCGGAACGTCCACACGCTGTTTGAATGGGTACTTTGAGGAAAATGAGATGTGAACTGCTGGGGAGAGTGTCGCAGCTGATGCCAGTCGCGTTCAGATTATCGCTGCCAGTCCAATCGAAAGATTCGCGCGTCAAAATATCGGTGGGGTGAAGGTAGAATAAATGCGCGACGCTACTCTGTGCCGATCGAGAAAAGGATATTCTGCGAAGGCGCAAGATAGAGAGGTAGGCTACGAAGTTGGGAGACGGACAATTGGCGATGTCGAGATGCGATGCTGGTGAGGAAGAGGGCGGCGAGGGAGTGTCGGGGTGGTATCGTTGTCGTATCGTAAGGCGCAGGCGTGAGGGGAGGGGGAGGGGGACTGTAGAGCTGACTGTAAGGACCGATGAAGCTTGACGGCTGAGAGGCGACTGCGGACGAGAGGCAAGAGAGGTGGGAGACCAAGATTGAAGAGGGGTCTTCCGAGCCAAGAAAAGGGACGTATCGAGAGGAAGAGGGAGAAAAGAACCAAAAGCCAGTGGTGGACGGCGGGAGGACGGCGTGAGCGAGAGACCTTTTGGGTGGAAAGAGCTAAAAGGGGATTAGCACCCATGCCAGATCTGCGGAAGGAGAAAACAGCGGCTGCGGGAGGACGAGCACGGGGATTGGGATGGATTGATGGGGCGCCAGGGCGTGAGGGAGAGAGACTGAACTGAATTTGTT